TTGTTTAAGTATAGGATAAAACACGTCCGAGGGTTGTTATGATATTTAAAACCCGCATCCCGAGGGATTAATTTTATTTATTATATAAAATCCCATGGAAATTACAACGTCCCTGTTTATGAGATTTAACCCGACTGGAGAACAATAGGATGACGTCACCGGAGGTTTATACACAATTATACATCTAGTATTGTATTTCTTCACTGTAACATATGTTTGTAGCGAGTAAAACAACAGTAAAAATGATGAGTTGTATCCAGTATAGTATTTCTTCACTGTAACATGTTTGTAGCGAGTAAAATAACGGTAAAAATAACGGACTTGCATCTGCCGTAGTATTTCTTCACTGTAATATATTATGTATGTAGTGAATAAAATAACGGTAAAAATTATGACATGCATCTGGTGTAGTATTTCTTCACTGTAACATCATGTATGTAGTGAATAAAATAACAGTAAAAATTCTGACATGCATCTGGTGTAGTTTTTCTTCACCGAAGTATATGTATGTAGTGAATAAAATAACGGTAAAAATTCTGACTTGCACCTGGTGTAGTTTTTTTCTTCACTGTAACATATTATGTATGTAGTGACTAAATAACGGTCAAAATTCTGACATGCATCTGGTGTAGTATTTCTTCACTGTAACATCATGTATGTAGTGAATAAAACGACGGGGGTGAAATATAATCTGAATGAAAATATATTTTCTGCTGATGTCTATTTCTATACGACCCTATATAGCTGCCCAAGGGTAAGGCTTAACGTGTGAAAACACCCGGGCCTCTCGTTGATTTAGTGAATTGGACAGGGAGAAATTCGCTGACAGACATTAATTTACACCCGATGAAATGTGGCTTTCGTGCGATTGAACCCGTGTATTAATTACAGATGGTGTAATATGTTGGCACGATAATTAGGTGGTAACTAAACCACGAAGCCAGTTTGCTAAATACTGATTCCATCGGCAATTATCGCGAAAAAATTCGAGGTGATGTTTGTCAACATGCACAATAGTTCCTCTACCTACTTACATAATGGGGTATTACAATTATGACAGGGACGTGTATCGATAGGGAATGTATTAGAGAGTGTAGCGATATCAACTTTTCAGTTACAAACCCACGGGAAATATGTCTTTTAAATCTCAAGAAATTACGAGGAGCAATAAGCCATAGTCTGCATCGGATTTATGAAGGCGTTGTCCCTCGGCCTTGATGTAGACCATGTCATGTCGGACCTCATCGCTAGCACTGACTACAAACGGTCTTGTTTCGTCTGACATAGACTAACATTTAGTCTCTGAAATCTTATATTACACAATATCCTTCTTGACTAAAGGGGCGGTCGGGTAGCCTAGTGGTTAAAGCGTTCGCTCGTCACGCCGAAGACCCGGGTTCGATTCCCGACATGGGTTCAATGTGTGAAGCCCATTTCTGGTGTCCCCCGCCGTGATATTGCTGGAATATTGCTAAAAGCGGCGTAAAACCATACTCACTCACTCACTCACTCTTGACTTAATATTTTTAAAAAATCCCTATGCTGATTTCATAGAGCTAGCTAGAGCTGGCTAGACTTGCTTTGGTATGCGTTTCTAGATTATTTTTTTTCATAAAATAAATATATTCCACAGTCATCGTGCGGGACTACGTCTGACAAGGCGTTCATGGCTATCGGGGCGCACTGATGGCCCAGGCGTCAAAGGCGCCGCAATTGGCTGTGCAGAGTTGCGTCCCTTGGGCACGCCCTAAACCTGATTGTGGGTTCGAATCCCGGTTCGACCCGATTAGGTTTGTCCGCACAATACACGTGCTCGTCGGTTTCGGCAAAGGGGTAAAGGTCCTACATCACTTCGGGCTTTCCTCCCACATTAAGCTGACACGCGGTGATATACCTGGAATTCTGTTCAAAGTGGCGTGAAAGTGAAATCTCGACTGCAAACTAGAGACGTGACGGTCGTCAAATTTATACCCTGCTTACAATGGCCACATGTCACCTCAGATGCCTATTTTCTGCAGGGCCCGTGAAGATTCGGTGAAATCTCGACTGCAGACTAGGGACGTGACGGTCGTCAAATGTATACCCTGCTTACAATGGCCACATGCCACCTCAGATGCCTATTTTCTGCAGGGCCCGTGAAGATTCGGGTTGAAACAAGCCTTCTTAAACCCATGCTTGTCGTAAGAGGCGATTGGGTGGTCAGGCTCGCTGACTTGGTTCATGCATGTCACCGTATCCCAATAGCGTGGATCGATGCGCTTGATACCAATCACTGAATTGTCTGGTCCAGACTAGATTATTTTCAGACTGCCGTCATATAGCTAGAATATTGCTGAGTGCGGCGTTAAACAACAACAACAACAACCAATAGAAATGTCCGCCATCGAACGGTAGGAGTATTCTGGTTGGGTGGTTAGTTGTTTAACCATTAGGCTACCCTAGTGACATAGGGCGTCTCAGGTCACAAACACCTGGAATAGATCCGCTGGCATTTGGTTTCCCCCAAACCTAAGGGAATAGGTTCGAATACCGGTTCGCCCAGGCTCGGAGACTGTTGATTGTGTGGATCGGGTGGTCAGGCTCTGGGACTTGATTGCGAGGATCGGGTGGCCAGACTCGGTGATTTTGGATTGTGTGGATCGGGTGGTCAGACTCGGTAATTGTGTATTGTGTGAATCGGGTGGTCAGACTCGGTGATTATGGGTTGTGTGGATCGGGTGGTCAGACTCGGTGATTGTGGATCGGGTGGTCGGACTAGGTGATTGTGTATTGTGTGGATCAGGTGGTCAAACTCGGTGATTGTGGATCGGGTGGCCAGACTCGGTGATTTTGGATTGTGTAGATCGGGTGGTCAGACTCGGTGATTGTGTATTGTGTGAATCGGGTGGTCAGGCTCGGTGATTGTGGGTTGTGTGGATCGGCTGGTCAGACTCGGTGATTGTGGATCGGGTGGTCGGACTAGGTGATTGTGTATTATGTGGATCGGGTGGTCAGACTAGGTGATTGTGGATTGTGTGGATCGGATGGCCAGACTCGGTGATTGTGGATCGGGTGGTCAGACTCGGTGATTGTGGATCAGGTGGTCGGACTAGGTGATTGTGTATTGTATGGTTCGGGTGGTCAGACTAGGTGATTGTGGATCGCGTTGTCGGACTAGGTGATTGTGCATTGTGTGGATCGGGTGGTCAGACTAGGTGATTGTGGATTGTGTGGATCGGGTGGTCAGACTCGGTGATTGTGGATCGGGTGGTCGGACTAGGTGATTGTGGATTGTGTGGATCGGGTGGCCAGACTCGGTGACTTGATTGTGTGGATCGGGTGGTCAGACTCGGTGAGTGTGGATCGGGTGGTCAGACTCGGTGATGTGGATTGTGTGGATCGGGTGGCCAGAATCGGTGATTGTGTGGATCGGGTGGCCAGACTCGATGATTGTTGATTGTGTGGATCGGGTGGTCAGACTCGGTGATTGTGGATTGCGTGGATCGGGTGGCCAGATTCGGTGACTTGATTGGTTGGATCGGGTGGTCAGACTGGGTGATTGTGGATCGGGTGGTCAGGTTCGGTGGTTGATTGTGTGGATCGATTGGTCAGACACGGTGATTGTGGATCGGGTGGTCAGACTCGGTGATTGTTGATTGTGTGGATCGGGTGATCAGACTCGGTGAGTGTGGATCGGGTGGTCACACTCGGTGATTGTTGATTGTGTGGATCGGGTGGTCAGACTCGGTGAGTGTGGATCGGGTGGTCAGACTCGGTGATTGTTGATTGTGTGGATCGGGTGGTCAGACTGGGTGATTGTGGATTGCGTGGATCGGGTGGCCAGATTCGGTGACTAGATTGGTTGGATCGGGTGGTCAGACTGGGTGATTGTTGATTGTGTGGATCGGATGGTCAGGTTCGGTGGTTGATTGTGTGGATCGGGTGGTCAGACTGGGTGATTGTGGATCGGGTGGTCAGACTCGGTGATGTGGATTGTGTGGATCGGGTGGTCAGAATCGGTGATTGTGGATTGCGTGGATCGGGTGGCCAGACTCGGTGACTTGATTGTGTGGATCGGGTGGTCAGACTCGGTGATTGTGTGGTCGGGTGGCCAGAATCGGTGATTGTGTGGTCGGGTGGTCAGGTTCGGTGGCTGTTGATTGTGTGGATTGGGTGGTCATGTTCGGTGGTTGATTGTGTGGATCGGGTGGTCAGGTTCGGTGACTTGATTGTGTGGATTGGGTGGTCAGGCTCGCTGACAGTGTGTCACCGTAACCCGTCGGCATGGATCGTTGCTCACAATATCAATCCCTGGATTATCTTGTCCAGACTCGATTATTAACAGACCACCGTCATTTAGATGGAAGACTGCGACGAGTGCGACTTTAAACAACAAACAAACATTAACGGCACTGTCGCAGGCTTTATCGAAAAATAACACACAGAGCAAGCACTATACAAAGCTGTTCGGAGATACAATCAAGATGTACGCTGATATCCGAAGAAGGAAATTTCATGTATTGATGACTATCTCTATCACCGATGTTGTCACTTTTCTGACATTCGACACTTCGCGTCAACTTTTGATACGTTAATTCGAACATTCGAGTATTAGGATGATTTCACAAGGAACGGTAGCGCCAGGGTTAACGGTGAGGTGAGGTGAGGTGAAATGGGGTTTAACGTCGCGTCCAAGATTATTGCACTTATATAGCGACGTGCATGCACGTGCATGTGTATGTGTGTGGCTTCTTGTGCTAGTCCGGACTGATGCCGATATATAGTGCTAATTCACTGAGATACCATGCCACAGTTTAACATGAATACCCCACTCAGACACAGAATACTGACTCCGAGCCGACCAGTCCTTGTTTTAGCCTCTTAATGCCGAGCGCCAGACAGGGTAACAACAAGTACCATCTTTTAACGTATTTTTGGTATGACGCGACTGGGGATCGAACCCCGGACCTTCCGCTCTCACGGAGGCGGTCCCAGGGTTAACGGGGAATCAATAACAACCATCTGAGAGAAATATTTATGCAAAGTCTGAGTTGTCCTGAATGTCCTACGATGAAATGTGGGAAGAGTGCTTCTCTCTCTCGAGTTACTACTCGATAAAGATACGAAACAAGTGTCTTCACATAGAGAGTTCAAATTCTTCATCGATAGTACCACTTCTCAGTGTCATGATCTTACACAAAACGATGAACAAATAAATGCCATATCTTAACTGAATTTGGACGAAAACGGCAGTAGATTTTTCTCCGACTAAAATGGGCTTTCCTCGCCGGATTCCGTATTTCCCATGCTTCGGATGTCGGACGGAATAAGTCTCGCCGTTTCTCGTGACGTGGTTATGTTCCGGTTTGACGTCACTTCCTCTTCTTCATCAAAAGGACCAATGTCGTTGTCACCCAAGCTAAATGGCTAAAAACATAGCTTACCATTAATTTTATTTTATCAATAAAGTGTTAAATAATAATAATAAATTTATATTGCGCATATTTCCACACCACTCAGGGGCATGCTCAAAGCGCCAATTCTACCCGGTCACTCGATCAGCGTGCACTCAACAATCATTCTCAGCTCCCTGGGGAGTATAAAACCCAAGCCGCTAGAAGCTTAACAACCACATTGCAATCTCATCCTACCGGGTACCCATTCACTGATGGGTGAACCTAGGCCAAGGTGACACCACACGTGTTACATGTGCTTCAGTGTGGGGCAGGACCGAAGCCCTAGAAACTCTCAGGAGCCAGGCAGCGACACGTGGTCACCCATCCAAAGACTCTCCGCGACCGACGTTGTTTAACTTAACTTAACTAAACTTAGATTGGTGATCTATGCGATACGTGTCACCACGTTCCACCACGTTTACAAAGACGTGAAGTCCACAGTTATATGACATGGTATAAACAATCGTCTTAAACAATAGAAATGCATATACCTTCCATGTAAATACCCACAAACTTTCAGACAAGTATAACAGATAGATAGGATGATTCTGATATTCAATACTAGTATTATGGCTAACTTACAAGTACTCGCTGATAGGAGCCGTAACATCTGTTGAGCACACACTTTGGTAGGCAGCAGCAAAGAGTCCCACAGATGGGGTAGATGTAGCGGGCGTCCACGTGGTGACCATTCCAACCTTAGAGATAAACGTGAGTGAGTACATGTAAACGCCACGTCGCGAGCTTGTTAAAGGAAGCCATCGATCGCTACCCAAAGACTGGAGGACCTAAAGTAACACGTGACCGACATACGGCAAATGGATTTTCCGTTTTACCCAGGGAACCCGGGGTGGATAAATACTTACAGGTAAACCAACTGACGATGACACCGGTGACAATCGACACCCCAACAGACACCGTCGGATACCAGAGGAAGGATAGACGGTAGATGAGTTTTATTCCCGTCCTGCAGGCACATGTTGTTATTTGTAAGTAAATAGCGCTCCAATCTCATTAAAATCAGATCTCAGTTATCGCTGCCGCTAAACAAAGATCTGAGGACATCCCATTACGTGTCACGTCAGAGCGACCTTTCGCGAACTTTGACCGACCACTGAAACGACTAACAAGAAGTCGACATCAGCCAATTAGAAAGCAGCTTTCTCGAGCTTTACGGCACTCGTTTCAACCTAGTGACTTCCATTTCAGACTATACTTGAAAAATATGTTGACACAGTTCTCGATTAAAATTTTGAAAACTGAACAAACGAACATTCCGGAATGTCTAATATATGGTTACGATTGTATGGCAGTGCTTCCAACGGACTGTGCAACGCCTCCTCCGTACAAATGTTTATCCCACGGAAGCGAGAAATAGACGATAATTTTAACGGAATCAATCGTTCGGAATACCCCGTTTTCACGTTTACGAGGTTGCAACATTGGAAAAGACATTCCGACTGTCACTTTCATGATCTGGTAAGCGACGCTTTGATCGGATGAAAGGTCGTTCTGACGTGACCCGTAACGGGATGACCTCAGATCTTTGTTTAGCGATAGCGAGAACTAAGATCTGATTTTAATGAGATTGATAGGGCTCTTGCTGAATAGAAAAATCAGAAGTTAAAGGATGGTATCAACTGCAAAACAAAATATATACCCATGTTTCAAAGTGGCTAAAAATGAAACAAACAGGAAATGATGTGATGGTTATGTATTTGATAAAGGTATCATTGCTGTGTTTTGAACCTTAAGTTTACCGTGTTTGGGGCTAATAACGTTTGTAATTTTTTGGTTAAATTCAATTTTCAAGTGAATATTTTCTTTTGCCCAGCAGTTCATGTCATGGTTTAGCAAATTTATATTCCAGACAAATTACAGTAAACTACGGTTATAACGAACACGCTTAAAACGAACTGACCGATATAACGAACTTAGTTTTTAGTCCCGGCCATTTGATGTATATATGCTTATAACGAACTACGGTTATAACGAACTAAAATTAGTGGTCCCTTTGAGTTCGTTATAACCGTAGTTTACTGTAATAACTTTCCAGACAAATTATATGATTGAATCTACAGTGAATCCCCATTAATACAGAAAGAACCATTCCTGTTGATGTCCTGATTACCAATATCCGCAATTGAGAATCGTGGTTGTTCTTTCCATTTCGTTATACAAGAGTCAGAGGATGCCAAATGCACCCCTCCCCACCTGCATTATATGCCGGGGGAATAATAAGGATAAATATTTTGTTGCACCAATACCAGTTTTCTTCAACGCCATGCAATTGAGTATGCGAAATGGCCATCGATGAGTTGAGGTAGCTGTATGTCAAAGTCTCATTGTGGACAACACATCCTGACGTGGATAGCGGTAACTCTGGTTGAGGCGCATGCGTTACAAAAGAGCCAATCGCAATCCAGAACGTCACTGCAGTACTGATTATCGTTGCACTTATTGCTCCCTGAAACAAAATCAAATTCATCCATCAACTTTACAAAAACAATCAGTTCACTGCCTTGAGGCTCATCTTCCTGAGGCAAGGGAGTTGACTAACTATCAAAGTCCAGTTGCCGAACTAGACTGGAATTTCGAGGTTGGATCGTAGTGTCACCAGTGGCTATTACGAGTTATGTCCCCTCATTGTCCATCCTACTGACCAATCAGTTTCCACCTATCATTTCACTTGCATTTGCTTCAAAAATGGCGGCGCCCCTCAAAACAACCTTATCGATAATCAAGATCTATATTGTAATAAAACGGGTCTTACCTCGCGAAGTGCATCAAATCAATTGAGCACCGTGATTAAAAACATGAAAAGACTTGCAAAATGTCTGTTGACCAGTTGATGGTACACATGCTTTGCAAATCCTGCAGTCGACCAAAATCTGCACGGCAGCTAACGAACCGGATGTCGCTTTTGATTGGACAATGTGTTAGTCCAGCTCGTCAGTTCAGCCAAAACACAACTCCGAAATTCAAGCCTAGTTCGGCAAGGGTGGAATCTAGACTTCCATAATCAGTTACCTCCTTGCATTGAGAAAACGTTTAAGGATAATGAGAAATGATGGCTCCAGTATGTCGCGGGTCTAGATAAATCCCTACACATGGTATGTTGTCTGCTCGATTGCAATTAATTGTGAGACTAACATGGTGCCGTTTGTGTGACTAGAAACAACAATAAATATTGCTGGGACTGTCGATTTCCCGAGTCTCGTATCTCTTTAGGACATATATCATTCAACTAACGTGTAGTTTGGTTACCTTAGAGTAAGTGAGTATGGTTTTACGCCGCTTTTAGCAATATTCCAGCAATATCACGGCGGGAATCACCAGAAATGGGCTTCACACATTATACCCATGTCGGGAATCGAACCCGGGTCTTCGGCGTGACGAGCGAACGCTTTAACCACTAGGCTACCCGACCACCCCTGGTTACCTTAGAGTTACATCCGGGGCAAAACATGCCAAGTAGAAACAGCCCCAACAGGGGGCCACCCGCCATCCCTAGCGCCGTGATCATGATCTGAAACAAGTGATATTTTGTCAGCAGTGACGTCATCCTCGATTATCCAGTGTTTTATATCTTCATTCTGGCATTTTCGCCATTCGCCACCACCCACGCAGGCGCCAATGTAGAGGCCATAAAATATCCGAATCGCGTGATGGGATTTGAATCACAAACCTTCTGATCTGAGGTCGGACGCCTTTTCCACATGACCAAAGAGGTGAACCCCGTCAGCAAGCTGACAAGGTAAGGATGTCATCTGTGGGATAACTCCTGCTACATATGGTTCAAACATTGGGGTTTGTAAATAGATATAGGCGTTAATGTACAAGTACTACTTAATTCCTATTCTATCATTTCCTTTTTTAAGACAATACATCAAAGAAAGGCATACATGATCAAGAATCTAGAATCCTGTTTGTTGTTTAACGCCGAACTCAGCAATATTCCGGCTATATTGCAGCGGTCTGTAAATAATCGAGTCTGGGCCAGACAATCCAGTGATTGACATCATGAGCATCGATCTACGCAATTGGGATACAATGACATGCATCAAACAAGTCACCGAGTCTGACCACCCGATCCCGTGAGTCGCCTCTTTCGACAAGCATATTCGCCTCTTACAATAAGCACGGGTTGCTGAAGACCAATTCTCAACCCGGAACTTCACGGGTCTTTTTCCTTTTTGATAAAGATGGTCAAGTGTATTGTTTCAGCAAATAGTCAAATACCTTACGTATAAATAAAACCGATATGGCAATGTACGTGAAGCGATGCGGTGTGGAATAGAAGCTATGCATCTCACCTGTAAAACTGTGTTCCCTAGAATTGATGATAAAAATGCCAATCCGATGACAATCACGCCTCCAAAAACGCCTGTTCCAAAATATATGTATCAGTGAATGAGCGTGTGGGGAATATCGCCGCATTGAACATAACGAACATTTCAACGTGTTTCAGCTTGAGTGAGTGAGTGAGTGAGTTGGGTTTAACGCCGCTTTTAACAGTATTCCAGTTATACCACGGCGTATCAGCTTAATGTGGGAGGAAGGCCCGAAGTGATGCAGGTCTGAGACGTTTACCACTTCGGTCAAACCCACGAGCACGGGAATGGTGCTGACAAACCTAGAAACATAATCGGGGCGAACCAGGATTCGAACCCACAATCATAGGTTTCTGGCGTGCCCAAGGGACGCAACTCTGCACAGCGAATCGCGGCGCCTTAGACGACTGGGCCATCTATTCCCCCGTGTCAGCTTGATGTTGGGAGAATGCCTGAAGTGGTGGTGTTGGACCCATGAAACCCATGATCACGGCTATGGTGCTGACAAACCTAGGAACACATATAATGCGAACCGGATTCGAACAGTCCGGTTTCTGGGACGCATAAGGGACACAATTGGCCCGTATTACTGTCAAATATAAACTGTCGACCAAGAGAAAGCATGCACAAGTGACTAAAATTGAAACCAACAATATGTTATATTCGGTGAGGTGAAGTGAAATGGGTATTAACGTCGCGTACAAGAGTATTGCACTTATATAGCGACTAGCATGCACGTGTGTGTGTGTGTGGCTGCTTGTACTAGTCAGGACTGATGCCGATTTATAGTGCTAGCACACTGAGATACCATGACGAAGTTTAACATGGATACCCCACTCAGACACACTGTACTGACTCCGAGCCGACCAGTCACCGGATCTCGCTCTCCGGGCGGACGCTCTACCACTAGACCACGGAGGCGGTCCAAATTATATTCGATGGTGATGTATTTGCTACGGGTATCATAGTGTGTTTTGGAACTTGTATGTGCCGTGCTTCGGCAAAATACTGATCAACACATCTAGTGCGTTCTAAGCTACTAAGCTATTAAGGCCCGGGGTTCGATCCCCGGCCGCGTCATACCAAAAGACGTTAAAAATTCTGTACTTGTTGTTACCAATTCTGGCGCTCGGCATTAAGGGGCTAAAACAAGGACTGGTCGGCTCGGAGTCAGTATTCTGTGTCTGAGTAGGGTATTCATGTTAAACTGCGGCAGGATATCTCAGTGAGCTAGCACTATAAATCGGCATCAGTTCGTACTACACACACACACGTGCATGCACGTCGCTATAAAAGTGCAATAATCTTGGACGCGACGTTAAACCCCATTTCACCTCGCAAATCCCGTGGAACCTGAGTTGGAATACACCCCACTGCTGGCACCATCCCGAGGCAAGGGCGCTAACTGTCCAGATTCCACCCTTGCCGAATTAGGCTGGAATTCCGGACTGCCTTTTTGGCTTTACTAACGAGTCTATGCATAGTCCAATCAAACTCGCGTGACGAACTAGACAGCCGGTTCGCAAACAACATGGATTTCAACGTGCAGATTTCGGTCGACTGCAGGATTTGCAAAGCATATGTACCGTCAACTGGGCGTCAACAGATATCCTGCAAATCTGTTTATGTTTTTAATCAAGATGCTCAAGTGATTTCACTTCGCGAAGTAAGACGCGTTAGATCTAGAATATAGATTTTGATTATCGATCAGATCGTCTTGACAGGGCGCCGCCATTTTGTTTGATCCAAATGCCAGTGACACGAAAGGTGGAATCTGATTGGTCAGTTGGAGGGACATAGAAGGGACATAACTCGTAATAGCCACTGGTGACGCTACGATCAAGCCTGAAATTTCAGCCTAGTTCGGCAAGAGTGGAAACTGTTTTTTTTATAATCAGTTAACTCCCCTGACAGGGAAAGATGACTTCATTCGTGACAAACTCGTGTTATTCCGGGACAAGCCGAAAAGCGACTCGTGTCCTTAATTCACGTATTTTTCCCCCATATATCATATATATTATAGATGTTATTTAAAACACCTAGGGACTTACGGTATTATACAGTATGATTGAACATATTTAACTATATCTTGGGTATATTCTTAGATGCACGGCATGTCAAATAAAAAAGTATTCCTGAGGGATTCTTTGACGAAGCACTTGAAGTCATACGCGCATTCTGAGTGGTTTGTCGTATTTTCGCACATAACATTCATCGACAGGGGTACGAGTCTTCTCGTGGGTTACGGAAAGAGCCGAGTGGTGACGAGATGCTTGCTGGTCGCAAGGCGCCGACATTTGATTGGGTGATCCTAGCCTCAGCGTCTTCCATGTCATCATATCGGCTACTATGGAGCTTCTCACGCGTTCACTGACTGGTGTGTCTTGTCTAGATTATTGTCAAGCCACCGTGATATATACTGAACCGCAAAAGAAACGTCAACCCAAGTAACATTGCATGAAAAGCTATCATTTAAATATCTGGGTAATTCTTGTCAAAGTTTCTAAAATTTAACATTACCTTGTCCGGAAAAATGAAATTTGATGATAAAAAACAAAGCAGATGACAATAAAACCGATCGCCAAAACACATCACGGTAACGGCCATGGTAACCAGATGCACGTGCAAATTCCGTGAGTTCCGTGCAAATTAAAATGCACATGCGTTCCCCCATTTCTTGCCCTATAAAAATCCACCCAGATCGGATAACATTCATTCGTTATTGAATTGCTACCACATGCCAAGATTGACAAGAAATCAGCGACACCAAGCCCTTGGACGACTGCAAGCTGGACAAACCGCCCGGCAAATAGCTAATGCACTTCAAGTCAACGTAAGGACCATATACAGGCTCCAGCAACGGTACCAGACCACCAAAACTACAGATGACCGACCACGTGGAGAAGAGTCCTCTTCTCAGACGAGAGCCGTTACTGTATCTCAACAGCAGATGGCAGAGAGAGAGAGAGTCTGGTGACGCCGCGGGGAACGTTATTCGGATGCTTGTGTTGTTGAGAGAGACTCGTGGGGTGGTCCGAGCATCATGGTGTGGGGTGGAATTGGTCTTGCACAGAGGGTCGGCCCTGTGGTCTTCCAAAACATCGGTCCAGGGAGAGGCAAAGGTGTCACAGCAGCTCGGTACATTGATCAAGTCTTGAGACCACCCGCCATACCTCATTTGGCACGTCGCCGCAACCACGAGTTTCAGCATGATAACGCCCGTGCCAACACTGCGAGAGCAACAAGAGACTTCCTCCAACAGAATGGCATCAGAACCATGCAGTGGCCTGCCCTCAGTCCCGATTTAAATCCCATTGAGCACATGTGGGACGAGATTCAAAGACGGCTGAATGAAAGGCCTACAACTGCAGCTGAACTACGTCAGGCGTTCCTCAGAGTGTGGGCTCAAGCGCCCATGGCCTTCATCAACCGCCTCGTCCATTCCACGTATCGACGTTGCACGGCAGTCATCAATGCACATGGCGGACACACGAGATAATAACTTGTGATGCCATTTTCTCAGAGACCAGTGTTGTGTTTCACTTTATAAACATTTTTCACTTTAATTTCAACCTTGGTGATCAGTTATGCCAAGTTTCTTGATATGTCTCAAGTATGTTTACAGTGTTTGGACAAATAAGGTTTCTCATATATCTATCCATGGTGACGTTTCTTTTGCAGTTCAGTATAGGTGGTAAAATAGGTGACTGAGGCTTTAAACAACATTCACAACATTCTCGCGCCGCCCCTCCCACTTTACCTAGTAGTTTGGCCAGCCAGGCCTCCGTGTTGGGGGACAGGGATTTCTTGCACCCCTCAAGACACGGCTTAATAATGTCCTCCAATAACGTGATTGACGTCGCGTTCAGACAAGATGATATGGAGCTGTAGAAAGTGAAAGAAAATCTTTATTTAAAAAAAATAATTTTTTCATCATCATTGGGTCACTTGAGTGAAAATGAATTTCATTTGTCGATAGTACTGAATTGAAGTTAAAGATTTTGCGGAAGGTTTTAAAAAAACACTTTTTAAAATTTATTTTCTTCATACCTTCATATATAAAAAAAAGACCCGTGAAGAGCCGGGTTAGAATAGGTTAGAAACCCATTCTTGTCGTAAAAGTTTTAATGCATGTCATCGTATCCCAATTGCGTGGATCCATACTCATTATATCAATCACTGGATTGGCTGGTCCAGATTCGATTATTTACAGACTGCTGTCATATAGCTGGAATAGTGCTGAGTGCGGCGTTAAACAACAAACAAACAAACAAAATCATATATAAAAATACCGCAAAACAAGTAAATTCGTCTGGACCTCGGACTTTCACACACCTGAGAGCTGCCGCGAAAATACAGGCCACAAACAGGCCGGGTACGCCTTTCATCTGACCGAGAGTGTCCATCGCGAGGAAGGGCAGTAACTGAGGAGAGAAAAGAGGAGACGTTAACTGGGACATAGGCATATGAGTTGGTTTGGTTTAACGCCACGGGGGCACATCGCCTAAGGCGCCGCGATTCGTTGTGCAGAGTTGCGTCCCTTGGGCACGCCAGAAACCTATGATTATGGGTTCGAGCCCCTATTATGTTTCTAGGTTTGTCAGCACCATACCCGTGCTCATGGGTTTCACCGAAGTGGTAAACGTCTGAGACCTGCATCACTTCGGGCTTTCCTCCCTCATTAAGCTGACACGCTGTGATATAACTGGAATACTGTTAAAAGCGGCGTTAAACCCAACTCACTGAAAAGTATTTCAGTTATATCATAGTGTTTCAGCTTGATAGAGCAGGAAAGCCCGAAGTGATGCAGGTCTGAGACATTTACTACTGACGTGAAACCCGCGAGTAAGGTGGTCATGTCCAGACCCATCTAGGATTCGAACCACTGAGATGACACAGCTATTTGTGAATTTTACGATGTCCATTCCAACTCCGATGTATTTTTTAGTTAACTATAAACTCGACAAAAGAACTTTATTTTTTAAATTTTAGGTCAAAAATATTGAGGACAATATAAGTTTGGCATTTATTCCAGACAATCCAGTGACCGATATCATGAGCACCGCCCTCCGTCGCCGTTGTACAACCAGGACACCATCCTGACCACGTGATTCATCAAGTCGACTCTCATGCCAAGTATATACAATGTAGGTTACTGCGGACCTATTCGAACCCGTGAAGATCCGGGGTAGAATAAGTCTTCAGTAACCCATGCTTGCCGTAAAAGGCGACTATGCTTGTCGTAAACGGCGACTAACGGGATCGGGTGGTCAGGCTCGCTGACTTGGTTTAAAAATGCGTGGATCGATGCTCATGATATTAATCCCTGGATTGTCTGGTCCAGACGCGATTATTTACAGACCGCCGTCATATAGCTGGAATATTGCTGAGTGCGGCGTTAAAAAACAAACCTAACCTATTCGAAACCGGAATCTCCAAGGGGATATACATGGATGCTGATCATTTTTTTTTTATTGTTGAACGCTGCACTTAGCAATATTCCAGCTGTATGACGGCGGTCTGTAAATTATCGGTCTGAACCAGATTATCCAGTGTTTGACATCATAAGCATCGATCTACGCAAATGGGATACGATGACATGCATCAATCAAGCCAGCTTTAGCCATCCGGAACGTGGAAATTTAGCGTGCATTGCTGGAGTCCTATTTGACGGCGGTCTGTAAATAATCGATTCTAGACCTGACAATCAAGTGATTGACATCATGAGCATCGATCCACGCAATTGGTATACGATGACATGCATCAACCAACTCAGCGAGCCTGACCACCCGATCCCGTTAGTCGCCTCTTTCGACAAGCATAATTGCCTTTTACGGAAAGCATGGGTTGCTGAAGGCCAATTCTAACCTGGATCTTCACGGATTTTATCCCTATCGGTTTATTGCATTGATAACACTATTCATTCCACGACAATAAGTAAGTTTTGTTTCACACAGGCTTCAGCCATGCGGAACGTGGAAATTTAGCGTGGACTGCTGAAGTCCTAATCTGAGCCGGATCTTCGCGGGTTATCTGTGTACCAGGGCACGTTTACAATTTCTGTGAAATCCATGATCACAGAGTACAGGCATACTCAGGAGTCCAGTAAACTGAAAGAAGTACCTGATCATTTGAGATTATCTGCCCATTCAACAAGGGGTCACAGCTCCGGTAGGTGGCGTAAATCACAAGGCCGGTCAAGCATACAAGGGAGATAAGTAGGAAAGTGGCCGGAAGGCTGATGTACAGGGCGCTGACGAAACGAAATTTGTCATTTGAGAATAACGTTGCAATTTACAATCTGGTGACAAAAAGCCAAATAGAAATTGCAAAATCAACATTTAAACAGTTGGCTAGTCTTATCCAAGGAGTGCAATAGAATCTACGTCTCTAGACCATTGCCTTTAACATACCGACTCACTCGCAAAGAAAATTGCGACTATTTTACAGACTTTCGAAAGGCGGAATTTTGTTTTCCACAAAAGAATATTTACATAAAAATAAAATAAATTAGGTCAAAATATTAATTGATTTTAGCTTTAACAACCCCTCAAAACACACAGTTCCACTTCATGAAATTAAATGAGAAGTAGAAAGTATGTTTATAAGCGTATCGTCTTTTTGAGAATAAATGAAATAAACAAAACAATGTCTACTTGAATTATCTTTCAAGCACAAATCTAACTTACATCTGAGAGTTCTTCACATTCTTGATGGCCATGTATCTCTGTAGCATCGTCTGATTGGCTCCATAGATTGTCAGCTGACCAATGAAACTGCCGAACACAGCTCCCCACACCGTCAGTCTCGTAAAGGGGCTCGGGTCAAAACTGATAAAGAGCAATGATAGTTGTCATGATGTGAATCAATAGCTCGGTATGAAGTGAGGTGAGGTGAATAAGGGTTTAACGTCGCGTCCAAGATTATTGCACTTATATAGCGACGTGCATGTACGTGTGTGTGTTTGTGTGGCTGCTTATACTAGTCCGGACTGATGCCGATTTATAGTGCTAGCTCACTGAGATACCATGCCGCAGTTTAACATGAGTACCCTACTCAGACACAGTCTACTGACTCCGAGCCGACCAGCCCTTGTTTTAGCCCCTTAATGCCGAGCGCCAGACAGGGTAACACCACGTACCATCTAACGTCTTTTGGAATAACGCGGCCGGGGCTCGAACCCCGGACCTTCCCCTTTCCGGGCCGATGCTCTACCACTAGACCACGGAGGCGGTAAAATATACTTGGAATGAGGTGGTCTTACATATCCTCAGGGGGACAATAAGTTTACGCTAAGTTTGACAACATGCAATCAATTGCATGTTGATAGAATTGTACAGGGTGTCGCAAATCAGGCGAGACACTGTTTCTACGACGAAGTGTCCGTCTTGTGCTGAAAGTGATTATTGGTTTTGTCTGATAACGTTTCTTCGTGTTTTTAATTCTTCATTAGATAAACCTAACTCACTTATTGCATCGACAAATAACGGCATCCATATCACGTGACTTCATATCCGCGTCATCATTATCTGTGCTGTTGTTGTCGCGACAGGAAGCAGGATTTAGCAAATATGTACCCGGATTTCGGATGTGCGGTCGCGTTGGGAAACGGAATTGAAGACAATAAATCAACAAACCTTCGGATTGGTTCCATGAATTAAGGTACACTAACACGGATATGTGTAGAACTATTTAAGGGATACCCTAGACTAACATTTAGTCTATGAAATCTTATATAGGGCAATACCCCTCTCGACTCTAAAAATAAAAAAATAATTTTCCCTATGATGATTTCATAGAGCTAGCTAGAGCTGGCTAGACTTGCTTTTGTATACGTTTCTTCTTACGATTGTGTATGGTTTTTTTCATAAAATAAACATATTCCAGTCATGGTCTTGGACCATGGATACCCCAACGAAACGCGTTTCATTCTCAACTATATCTAACGTAAAATTTATATTGAACAGCGACCATTGTCCATAATACCTCTAAATGAGGCCACGGGTGGCCCAGTCGTCTAAGGCGCCGCGATTCGCTGTGCAGAGTTGCGACCCTTGGGCACGCCAGAAACCTATGATTGTGGGTTCGAATCCCGGTTCACCCCAATTATGTTTCTAGGTTTGTCAGCACCATACCCGTGCTCGTGGGTTTGACCGAAGTGGTAAACGTCTGAGACCTGCATCACTTCGGGCTTTCCTCCCACATTAAGCTGACACGCCGTGATATAACTGGAATACTGTTAAAAGCGGCGTTTAAACCCAACTCACTCACTCACTCACTCACTCTAAATGTTATTCCTTCATCGCGACGATTCGGTACAGATGCCAGAACATTTATCAAGCATTTATGCGTCTCATTTTACGAAGTGAGGGAGTGAGTTGAGTTTTAACGCCGCTTTAAACAGTATTCCAGTTATATCACGGCGTGTCGGCTTAATGTGGAAGGAAAGCCCGAAGTGATCCATGTCTCAAATGTTTACCGTTTTGGCACCCACATAGAAACATAACAAGGATCCTAACCCGTAATAATAGGTTTCTGGTGTGACAAAGAGACGCAACTCCTTGCAGCGAATTGCGGCGCCTTTTTGAGTGAGTGAGTGAGTTGTGTTTAACGCCGCTTTTAACACTATTCCAGTCATATCACGGCGTGTCAGCTTAATGTGGTAAGAAAGCACGAAGTGATGCAGGTCTCAGACGTTTACCACTTCGGTGAAACCCACAAGAACGGGTATGGTGCTGACAAACCTAGAAACATAATCGGGGCGAACCGGGATTCGAACCTACAATCATAGGTTTCTGGCGTGCCGAAGGGACGCAACTCTGCACAGCGAATCGCGGCGCCTTGGACGACTGGGTCTCACGTACCACGCTCTTAGAGAAACTTAAATCCATTCGCCAATACTATCTTCATCCCAGTGGCTGACAAACGTTCCAGCATCTCTCTACCGTGTCATCTTTAAATACTTTGCTTACAGAATCAAATTATTACAAAACATTGTCACCGATTAAGTGTAGGGTATTTGAGGAATGTTGTCCAGTGTTACGATCGCTTTGTCAATCGTCGCCTAGAAAAGGTAATCATCGAGTCATTCTAAATGTTCTTGAAGACCTAAGGTAACACATGACCAAAATCCTCAACGTGGGAAATCCCTTTTGGCTCACATCAGCAGTATATTTGATTAAACGTATCTCGCAGAAGACAAATTATTCGAAAAAAACATTGTGTCGTTTTTGTAACACAAAATGTTATGCTACACCCGCGCCGATTATGAAATAGTCACCCTTTAGCGAAACGTTTCATAAAAACGTAAAACTTTAATGCCAGAGAATACAAATCTCGATTACCGGCCGATATAAAATGGCAAAATAGCGCTGGAAATTACATGAAAAACTAAAAATCAGTGATGACACCATGTGTATCACAGTTTTTGAGAACATATAAACTTACTTTAAGAAGTTGATCCTCTCTCCAAGCTCAGCAACGCTCCATACGTGAGCGAGTCCTCCCAGACGCTGGCACCCAATGACAATGAGAGCGATAAGTCCGCCAATGACAATAAATGTCTGGAAGGTGTCTGTCCACAACACTGCGCGGAGACCTCCCTGGAAAGGTGAGTTAATATTGGTTAATACTGGTTGTAGTCCTATTAAAAAATAGTGTGTGTGTTTTTTTTGTTTTTTTTTTGTTGTTGTTTAACGCCCCACTCACCAATATTCCAGGTATTTGACGGCGGTCTGTAAATAATCGATTCTAGACCTGACAATCCAGTGATTGACATCATGAGTATCGATCTACGCAATTGGTATACGATGACATGCATCAACCAACTCAGCGAGCCTGACCACCCGATCCCGTTTGTCGCCTCTTTCGACAAGCATAATTGCCTTTTACGGAAAGCATGGGTTGCTGAAGACCAATTCTAACCCGGATCTTCACGGATTTTATCCCTATTGGTTTATTGCATTGATAACACTATTAATTCCACGACAATAAGTAAGTTTTGTTTCACGCAGGCTTTAGCCATCCGGAACGTGGAAATTTAGAAGCGGTCACAGTCATCACAGTTGAATATTGATACTGAATAGTGAGTGAGTAAGTATGGTTTTACGCATTGTACCCATGTCGGGAATCGAACCCGGGTCTTCGGCGTGACGAGCGAACGCTTTAACCACGGCTGGTAAATCAATCTATATTTAACTACTGACAAAATGCAAATCGAGGATACGTTACCATTGACGTGTAAAAGGTGACGACACTGCCGACGGTGACAATTGACACCCACAAGGGCAGTCCCGTCACTGAAATCAAAATGGAGGATTGTGAACTTTCCTATGACACGGTATTTAGGCATGTACGTGCACTGAAACGTTGATAATTCGATCTAACTTTACACATTGATTAACTATCGCTATCATGTGATTATTGTAAGGCTGCCTTGGAAAATATAGAAATGAAATCGATCTAATAAACATAACAACAAACATGAAAGGATTATCATATATATATCATATAGTATTTCCTCTATTAAGGACCTCATCTGGGATAAGGATTTAAGGTAGGAGACGGGTCTCTATAAACATCTTCCCGAGGAAAGAATGTTTACAAGCAGAAAATGAAGACGTTACCTTGATATAGGCTACTGGACAATTCATTCCTCTAGGAGATGCCATTAAGGGCCGTTTCAGATATGAAGCGGTTTATTTCTCGAAATTTCATCTGAATACCACAAAGTTTACTGATCTGGTCCCATCAGCAGGACATGATAATAAGAGTCAGAAGTATGCGAAGTTTGTAAGAGCCCGGGCTCTAGCGATTTGAGAATAGCTGCAAAATTGCCGATGTGGCTTTAAACAAAGCTGATACAACAAGGGGACATACTTGTTCCTATTCCTTTTTCCAAAATGGGGCAAATAACCCTATTCCCGCAATGAGATGGTAGCTTACCTTGATTCAGAGCAAGGGAGGGTGCATACAAAACCACAGCCATATAAAGTAGCTGAAAATGATCAAAATCTTGACAAGATATAATACATTGAGATCTCTCGCAATCAACATTTAAATCAGCTAGATTTGCATATTGTCGAATACAAACATGGAAACTGTGACTACAGTTTGAAGGTAATGATGAGTGAATGTAGCTGTTAGCATTAAGATTCTTTCTTTGTTATCCATTAAAAGTGTGAGTGAGTATGGTTTTATGCCGCTTTTAGCAATATTCCAGCAATATCACGGCGGGGGACACCAGAAATGGGCTTCACACATTGTACCCATGTCGGGAATCGAACCCGGGTCTTTGACCTTCCCACACCTTTTCACATAGATGCAATATTACATACACCAAAAATTATATCAACTTTTAATTTAAAAAAATCCTCCGCTCTGTGTAAATCAAATGTAAAAGACAACCAAAATCGTCGTTTTCAAGGTGCAAGAATAATTTCCAAAGTTTTTCGTGTTTGAATATTGAGTCTTATTTGCAAAATTTGAAACAAATTATGACATTTGTGGGCCAAGCATTGATCGGAATGGAACAGGAAAATCATTAAGTTCCAGTAACCAGACGTTTAGGAAAGATGTCGTGGGAAAGCTATGCACTAACTACAGGGCTGCGTAAAAAAATAAACATTTCTCGCACGTGAGGCATAAAATTTAAGAAATATTTCTGAAATTGGTAATGAAAAAGTGAACAGGTAAACAAAATTGCCACAAGCACTTGTCTTAAAACAGGACACCCATGATCTAAAGTGACGCCCCTTTTTTAGCCTTCTAACGCATAGTGACATAAGATATCATAATGTACTTACCATCTCTATCGTAAATATAACGGAGGCGATATATCTCGCCGTTCGGCAGAATCTCAATTCTAAATACTGAAACAAAATAATAATGATCTCATTCAAGTGTCGGTGAGGGGTGAGTGAATTCGGTTATATTACCACGTGGGTGGGTGAGTATAGCATAAAGCCGGTAATATTACGACTTCAAGTGAGTGAGTTAACTTCAAAGCCGCTTGTTCGGTTATACACATATCAAGACGTCTATGCTTCATTTAATGGGTTCAAAAGAAAGCGCAGGTTATGAAAGGTTCCATTTTGGTAAAAGAAGCGATCACGGGTTAAGTGCTAACATCATAATCGGTCGAATCTTGGATTCGAACACAGAACTAGTGGATCCAGGTGGGACTAAGAGACACAATTGTGCAAAGTGTGTAAAAAATGCACCGCTAAATAGCTCAGGCAAAAAACAAAATAGCGATCGAATATTAATATTGGCCAAGTCAAAACAGAATATATTCATCAAGAAATATTGTTAGCGTTAAGATAGGAATAACGCCGGCCAGTGTGTGGGAGCCAAACAGACGGGGCCGTTTCAAGGGCGACAGAATGGTATCATCTCAATGGACTGTTCACTCGCACAGGTCATCCAATATTCGGGAGATGACCTCTTTTGTGTATTTGACATATACTTCAGTTTGTTGTTGGTTCATTTAAGAGTTGCGAATTTATGAAATTACGTAATCCAAAAAATGATGTGTGTTGTTTATCTTATTGAGGAGTAGGGTTTCAGATCGTTTCATTTTCTAGGACAGTTTCTAATTGTCATCCAAATTGCCCTTAAGATGCTATAAGAATGTTCAATAAAAAGTTAATAAAATCATGAGAACGTCCTATTGCCATTTGTCTGTAGCAAAATCAATGGAGCTATACACTTGAAAATTGCATTACAAACGTTACTTGGCTGAAAACAATCGCCTGTTGTGAGATACGCATTGATAAGATGCATGTTATATCGTATAGGAGAGTGCAGGCTAAAACGTCACCGATTTCTCGGACTAAAACGGCACCTCATTTGGCAAAAACGGCTGCCATTTGTCGGGGAAAACGTCACCTCTATGTTTAATAACGGTAAGAACGATTTATGTTGTAGTTTCTATGCTATATTTGCATGCTATATTGAAGAAAATAGTATTTATATGATACCCGTTTTAAATACATGAAGATAGAAAAACATTTCTTTCCTTTTCAGCCACCATTAAACATGGATGTATACTTTCAGGTATTGATATTTCAGATACCCATACGTAATACGTTTTCTATAATATATTTATAGTATAACCTGCAATTGTGTATTCAAATAAATGCGTAATGGAACGTTACCTGGTAAGCACTTGACAACCCCATGTCGTGAAAAAATGGAAGGAAAATATGACAGGTGACCGGGTAGGTTAGAATACCGGCCAGCGCCACCATCCAATACCCGGTCCCGAACAGGTATATCTCTGTGGGTATCCCCAATACAGTGATGGCGGACATGTAGCTAGCGATGAGGGACATAGCAACGGGGAATATTCCCATTTCCCGCCCTCCCATCAAAATGTCGTCTGCTGTTGCCTTTTTCGTCTGCCATTTTTCTTTGATCACATAATAAACTCCAATGAGCGCCGATGCTGCTAAGAGTCCGATGAAGATGCAGTAATCAAGGATGCCGAAGGTAGTCGCCATAGCTGTGATAATTTGATAATTCTTTCCAAAAAGAATTTCCCGGATTGCGTGTTCCTGAATATATTTCTAATTGTTCACAACGAAAGCATTATTCTAGTTTACACCGCCTGTTGTCTTTAAAACTCAGTGTTCCTGGATCCAGATCACATGTTACGATATCTCGATCCCAATTCATCACAAACATACACTAATATCCGTCCACGGAATTTCCTATAGGCCTCTCTATACGCCGCTTGCTCCTCGATATAACGCAAATGGAGCTTGAGACGTCACGTGTTTCGGGTATACCGCTGGTGTCAAGGAATTTACATGCAAGTACTTGCCAAGTTGTGTCGAGTGCTTATGTCTATAAATGCAAATCACAACATCGTCTGTAAACAATAGTATCGACAATAGTTGCAGAAAACTGTCCTATTGTCTTTGTAATCTGGGACAACCTTCACCTCGAGTCCTGAGCCCTATTAAAAGGCGTGTCGTAATTGCTATGAAAGAGCCCATGTTGTTCACAGGTCTAATGGATTAATGCGAAAACAAATATAAGACCATTCAGAGGCTCCATGTGGAGATATTTATGATTCAACTCTATCTATGACAGGAGATTTTACTATCGCGGATGCTATTGTGTAACGTTTTACAATGGACATACTTGGAGATTATATAAAAGAAAAGGTTAATCCACTATACGTCGAAACTTAGAGGACTAAAAGAGATTAGTGTCACCAAATCAGTTGAGTCTGTGTCATTAATCCTTCCAAACATATTTTTTGAAAATTATTACTAAGTATTGCTGGGATTTGCAAAAAGCGGCGTAAAACAATACTCATCAAACCAACCGGGTTATTACTTACATTGACATGTTTTGTATCAATACAACACATTTACTATCTTCGATAGCGTTGTGGTTAGACACCTGGTGGTATCGAAAAAAATCAGTACACAGAAATCCTATCAATTTTGAAAGAGTAAGTGAGTTGGGTTTAGCGCCGCTTTTAACAGTATTCCAGTTATATCACGGCGTGTCAGCTTAATGTGGGAGGAAAGCCCGAAGTGATGCAGGTCTCAGATGTTTACCAGTTCGGTGAAACCCACGAGCAAAAAAAAAAAACCTAGAAACATAATCGGGGCGAACCGGGATTCGAACCCACAATCATAGGTTCCTGGCGTGCCCAAGGGACGCAACTCTGCACAGCGAATTGCGGCACCTTAGACGACTGGGCCCCCGTACATGAATGAACCCTTTATGCCATCTTGGAACCCGCCCTGTTTCGCTGACGATGTTCATTAATGTTGACAACTAAACTAAACAAACCATGCTTGCCGTAAGAGGCGACTAACGGGATGGGGTGGTCAAGCTCGCTGAGTTGGTTGATGCAGGTCATCGTATCCCAATTGCGTAAATCGATGTCCATGATGTCAATCACGGACTTGTCTGGTCCAGAATCTATTATTTACAGACCGCCGTCATATATGTGGAATATTGTTGAATGCGGCTATTGTGAGTTACCCAAATCATTAATTTCTTATGACACAAGAGTGTGAAGTCAGTTTAGCGTGAAGCGCTCGTTAAATCTTCCACACTGTGCATGTTAGCAATTATAAAACAATTTGAAAATCGTCGAACAAATGCACACGATCTGTTGCCAAGTCTCAAAGTGGTGACATAGGTAATAAAAATAATTTGGCACCGTTTCTCGTTCTGCCGAAATATCGGATAGAAAATGATACTTGTTATTTTCATCAAACCGCTGTTATGAATCTGAAAAGGGGCGGTCGGGTAGCCTAGTGGTTAAAGCGTTCGCTCGTCACGCCGAAGACCCGGGTTCGAATCCCGACATGGGTACAATGTGTGAAGCCCATTTCTGGTGTCCCCAGCCGTGATATTGCTGGAATATTGCTAAAAGCGGCGTAGAACCAAACTCACTCACTCACTATGAATCTGAAAGCTCCCTGTGGCTATGTTTGTCGTAAGAGGCGACTAACGGGATCGGGTGGTCAGGCTCGCTGGCTTTGTTGGTGCATGTCGTCGATCACAATTGCTTTGATCGATGTTCATGTTGTCAATCACTGGATTGTCTGATCCAGAATCGATCACTTACAGACCGCCGTCATATACCTGGAATATTGCTGAGTGCGGCGTTAAACAAAAAAAACAAAACAAAAAAACAAATGAAAGCTCCCCAGCTGTGTTTCTCTCTATACGGTTATCCTTTTCCAAGAGTAGGCACACAGAATGCAGCCCTTTACTGTGAGGCTAACAGTTTATCAGACATGCCAACTGTTGCTTCCGAATATCTCAGAGCTTTGCCACTTAAAGATAAGAGAGCGGGGATCTCTATGTACTCGAAAACCAGTGTCCTGAATCCTGCATGTGTCCTGTTACATTCGGAATGTCGTTGTCCTATCTTTACGGCATATACTTACTATGCTCTAGTTGCCATGACAACGGAAATACATAATTGACATGTCACTATGGATGATGTTGCATTCATAGTTACGTTTACTCATGAAGATCCGTGTGGAGAATAGGTCTTCAGCAACCCATGCTTGCCGTAAAAGGCGACCATGCTTGTCGTCATTCGTCACCACTCGCCCCTTTCCGTAATTCAGCTTGTCCTGGAAAAACACGAGTTGGTCACGAATGGCTTGTCGTTAGAGGCAACTAACGGGATCGGGTGTCAGGCTCGCTGATTTGGTAGATGCATGTCATCGTATCCCAATTGCGTGGATCGGTACTCATGATGTCAATCACTGGATTGTCTTGTCAAGACTCGATTATTTACAGACCTCCATCGTATAGCTGGAATATTGCTGAGTTAAACAACAAACAAAACGTTTTCTCACATGAGTGAGTTGGGTTAACGCCGCTTTGAACAGTATTCTTCACTGCGACGTGTCTGCTAAACGTGGGAGAAAGCCCGACGTGATGCAGGTCTTAGACGTTTACCACTTTGGTGAAACCCACGAGCATGGATATGGTGCTCACAAACCTATAGAAACATAATCGGGGCGAACAATCTTATGTGTCCGGGGTAGTCTAGTGGTTAAGCGTTCGCTCGTCACGCCGAAGACCCGGGTTCGATTCCCCATATAGGTATAATATATGAAGCCCATTTCTGATATTGCTTGAATATTGCTAAAAGCGGCGTAAAACCATACTCACTATTCAATAACGATTACCGCATAAATCTCACTATAAACTTGTCCCCCAAGTTGTTTCTCCGATATTCCAAAATGTCAAAGTAGTAATTAAGATAAAACGTTGAATGGTGTTTTACGCCGCAATAGGGGAGGTCGGGTAGCCTAGTGGTTAAAGCGTTCGCTCGTCACGCCGTAGACCCGGGTTCGAATCCCGACATGGATACAATGTGTGAAGCCCATTTCTGGTGTCCCCCGCCGTGATATTACTGGAATATTGCTAAAAGCGGCGTAAAACCATACTCACTCACTCATTTACGCCGCATTATTACATTTTCCAGCATCAGCGCGGAGTCATGTTAAGAAATAATCGAAAATAATCATGACACAAGTGGACAGACATTTCCTGAAGAAACATTAAATCATTTGTTTGATTTACGGACAGCAGGGCTTGTGAAAAATACCGAGCAAGCCTACATGTATTTGAATGGTTGACCTTTAGAAGAGCTTAGTGGATCCACGTATTTGAAAATACAGGAGAATTGAACAAATATGCTTGACGTCGACATTTCTCGGAGGGTGTAATCCGCGAATAAACATTATTTAGTTACCATGGTTACGATCTATAGTTGCCCAGGCCTACATCCCGTCTGAAGGACAACTTACAACAACACGTCCTTGGTTCGTTGCACCTTGTCGTTGTCTATCCCAGTGAAAACAACAAAAACAAAATTATGTTAACAACAATATTTATTCCTTGCTTACTTATACTGGTCTCATTGTGAGCGAGTTGGGTTTAACGCCCTTTTTAACAGTATTCCAGTTAAAGTAGACACAATTTATGGTTAACAACTTCTTTAATATTGTAAAGGCGACGTTTCGGTATAGATCCTATTACCTTTGTCAAGCAGGACTGAGGATGTTATTGTTGCATTAGGTGTTTAAGACAGACAGACAGGCAATAGTTTATTAACGTCTCACTCCTGTTCATACATAAAACAGCTTTATACAACTTGACATAGATAGAATGTACAGAACCATTCAATAGAATAATGAGAGACGAATTATCACAGACTTTATACATAAATGATATAAAGATGATATAGTAAAAAGTTATCAATATAAAAGATGTTTTCTACGATTAAGAATTAAAAAGCAGACTTTGGCAAGTATAAAACACACACTGGAGTCACTGAAAATAAAACAAAGTTTGTCGATATCAGGTATATCTAAAAAATTTAGATTTAGCAATACATTCATTAAAAAGAGTTGCCCTGATATCATCATATAATACGCAGTGAAACAAAACATGGACCTCGTCCTCTACGCTGTCATTACAGTGAAAACATTTTCTATTATTGACAGGTACACCTTCGTATCGACCGGTTTCCACTCGAATAGGAGCCACGCCACATCTAAACTTGGCTAGTGCCGATCTATAGTTTCTGGGCATCTTATTTGAAACATAGTATTCTGTCCCATATACTTGTTTGTAACATCCATACATTCTCAATTTATTAAGCCCATTTCGCCCCTCTTCCTTTCTTAACATATCACTCCAACGGGTAACATATTCATTTTTACACCATTGTTCCACCTGTGTACAAACAGAAAAATTTATCAATAAAACCTGTGGCGTTTAATAGATGTCCTAAATCCATATTAGTAAACTTCTTTCTTACCCTACCATTCCAATTTTTACAACCATTTACAGCGTATCTATCAGCCCAGTTAAGAGGTTGCCTTCTGCCTAAGCAATTTCGGCTGACCTGTCCCTCTTTGGGACTCCTGTGTGTGAGTAGGGTACACATATCTATTGTGAGTTTGGTGTTCACATAATTTCTGTTTTTGTATTGATATGATTTCTATTTTCTTATATTGTTATTTCATTTTTATCCTTAGCTGCTCTGTTTATAAACGTTCGAGTAGCTGTCCATCTCTCAGAAATAGAGATAGTTTGGCCTTCGCTATTGCATCTCTTGGCTTTAGGAGATCTATGACAGATAGCGGATCTAACTGCAATTCTTGTTTTAACCTAGCCCGGGCTGGGGCGTGGTCTTGACATTCTAGTAACACGTGAGCAATGGTTTCAGCTTGATTGCAAGATGAACAAACCTTGTCATAGTGCTTTTTGTGACAGAGTCTGAGGCGTGAGATGGCAATTTCAATTTTCCTTTCATTTGAGTATAGTTTGGCTATTGTTGGACCTTGGGTTGAATTTTGTATAGCCATCTGCCAATCTTACTTGCGTCCCATAGGGCTTGCCATCTTTCTGCTATAGAGGCTTTGATTTTGCTTTTTATCAATAGTTTACTACAGGGAATAGGCTGTATGTCCGCTTTGTCTAGAGCTAGCTTCGCCAGTGAGTGTGCTTTTTCATTTCCATGAATATCTATGTGAGAGGGGATCCAACACAGCTCCACCTGTTGCCTTTCGTCCGATAGTTTTGTATATTCGTATAGAATATTGTTGACTGTGTTTGGCCTGGAGTTTGAGTTTCTACCACTGACGGCTTGAAGTGCACTTAGCGAGTCTGATAGGACGACTGCCTTTGCTTCCGAAGTTCCGGTATGAGTTTGAGTGCATGATGAAGAACGAGGAAATTTGTACAGAATATATATAGTAGGTGGAGGATTAACAGTAGAGGACAATTACATACATGCCCTCTCTATCCCCCCCCCCCCCCCCCCCCCCCTAAATAGATATATACATATATTTCCTAAATCAAATGCTCACTAATATTAAAAGGGATTTGGTGTGTGCAGTTAATGAAACATCACCCATCTTTTCAAGTCTTGGTAATCTGTAAGTCGGTTTGTATCAGATTGTGTCGGTTTATATCAGATGGTGTGCAAAGTTAAGTTTTCTCAAGCTATATACTCGTTTCGTGTTTAAAGTCGCACTACTCCAGCTGTATGAGGCAGCCTGTAAATAATAGAGTCAATTAAGTAATTGATATCATGAGCAACGTCCCAAGGGGTACGATGATAATTATAGTCAATACTGATTTAGTCAAGTCACCGATCGTTAATGACCACTCGAAAACAGATACGTACTTGTATTTGTAAGCCAAATTTGCGCTAGATCTACAGTGACTATTTCGTCATTATAGCGACTCATATGCCTGTTACTCATATTACTGTTTCAGAACGGAACACGATTTCAAACATGTTTTTTCCCGGTTCAGTTACATTTATAATACATATTATACTCTTTGCTCTTTGAGACGACCACATTGACAGGATATCCTCGGCCTCGATGTCATTCACAGGCGTCATAAATGTTATACTATCTGGACAACAACTAATATTTATGATGATAGTGAAAATATTCGTGCTGACCCAATCAAGTGTTACAGTTTTACATATGATTTTAAATTTTAATGATTCGTTTGTTTTAAACGTAGTTATGTATTTTAATGACATAGTAGTCCATACTCCAATTAAACATTCTTTCTTTTTAAAAATATAATAATAGTTGTTTTACAAATACTCTAAACTAGCTTCCGGCATTCCTGGGGAATTCCCACGCCCTCCAAGCTGATGTATCACGTAATCACACCTCAGTGAACTGTAGCATGCCTGTTAAATGTCGCCAGGGAGGAAAGAGCGGCGGAGATGTCACTGAAAGAGATATTAACGACATGGAATGAAGCAATCATTTATTTTGAAAATGGCAAATTTGAAGAAGCCATTGATAAATTTCGACAAATCGTCGACCCATCAGCGAAAATCCTTTTCAACATAGGTGTAACCTATTTGGCAGCAGCAACACCCCATCACGACCAGGCTTTGAAGGTGAGAGGAAACTAAACTATGGAAATGGTGATTTTGGAGCAGCTATAGAATATGTTTGCCACTATTTTTATTCAATGTCCAAGCGCTAAGGATAGAGTTGGGGATAAACTACTACAACTTACCCCAAAGATCGAAAAGGCGCGCGTAAATATGTATTTTGCGACGCTAGATATTTTTCTTGAGATATATCTAGTTTTTATTAAACTATTAGGTGACAAACAAATTCTATAATCGCACGGTGATTTTTAGATCAACAATATTTCAATCCGACTAGGACCAACACGTCAGGCTACAGTGACATTGGCCAGTTGCATTACAAAACATTTTGGTCTTGAACCGTAAATCACTTGCTTATATATGGGTCTGTGGGGATACCGGGCTCGAAGTGGTCCCTAGTAAGAGGCCACCAAATGGATCGTATGGTCAGGCATGATGACATCGTATCAGGTAGTCCTTGTATGCAACGGCATAGATCGCTGATCGCAATATCGATCACTGGATTGTCTGGTCCAGATTTGAGTATTTACAGGCCACTGTCTTATGGCTAGAATATTGCTGACAAAAGAAACAAACATATGATATGTTACATGATACAGAAAGAATGATGTGTATTGATGTGGTAATCAGTATTGCTTTCGGCATTATACTGCAGTAAATACAATATCTATTAGGTTACTGTAAGACATAATAATTAGAACAATTACCTTTTCAACCACTCACAGCTAAAAAACAAACACTCTGTTTCACAGCAACCGCGGGGCGGTCGGGTAGCCTAGTGGTTAAAGCGTTCGCTCGCCACACCCTGCCCGGGTTCGATTCCCGACGTGGGTACAATGTGTGAAGCCCATTTCTGGTGTCCCCCCCTGTGATATTGCTGGAATAATGCTAAAAGCGGCGTAAAATCAAACTCAACTCACTCACTCACTCACAGCAACCGCCTCCGTGGTCAGGTGGTAGAGTGTCCGCCCGGAGAGCGGAAGGTCGAGGGTTTGATCCCCGGCCGCGTCATACCAAAATGGGGTTCAATTCCCGGCCGCGTCATACAAAAAGACGGTACTTGTTGTTTCCCATCCTGGTGCTCGGATTAAGGGCATAAAACAAGGATTGGTCTGCTCGGAGACAGTATACTGTGTCTTAGTTCTTAAACTGCTCAGTGGGCTAGCACTATAAAATCGTCATTCGTACACACACACACACACACACACACACACATCGCTATGTATGTGCAAAAATCTTGGACACGACATAAAATCCCATTTCATTGTACTGTACCTAAACTTGAAGAAAACTGGCATGTGTTTTACCTAGTTTCTTGATACTTAATGAAACACCACACATTGCCCGATCTGTGAACTCTTGTATGATTTCTAACTTTTTGTGTTTTCATATTTTCATATATACATTTACGTTATCTAGCTGACATGGGTTTTGTACAATGAATAATGATAAATCCAGCATTAATGCATGGTTGTAGTAGTCAAATATTGTGAAGCTGCTGACGGTCTCTATGTAGTTGATTACCCTCACCATGAAGTGGTACGCAGAACAATGTCAATGTCAGTGAAAGATTAATAAGCTGTCCAACTATTTTGACAACCTGATGATTTATCATGTTTATTGGCCTGTGACATGTGGAATGTTTCAAATGTTGATGACTACCTCTAACACCCTTCTGACTGAAGTAGGAAGTGGACATACTGTATTCGACGTAATAAGCGCCCCGCTCTAATAAGCGCCCATGGCGATATTTGCTAGTATCAGAGCTCCAAATAAGCTTTTGGTGTTGTGGGTATTTTACCCATGCATTTTAAAATCATTGGGTGTCAGTAATTCTACCTGCGTATTCAAATTTCTGTTACCAACTAGTTTTTACACATGTGGGTATTTAAGTTAAATATTTAAAAACACTATTCATCTAGTCCCTGCAAACTGGTGTCGTGTGGGTTCGAGAGCTTTATAGGACTCAAAAATACCATGATACTTCCACAAGAAAGTGTGATGGCAAATGATCATGATGTAACTGTCATCGTGGAGTTTGGCAAGGTTGACGGAATGCCCCTTTATAATTTCAAAATAAGTTGCTGATTTGCTAATCGAATATGCAGGGTTACTTCACAATATTTTGACGATACGCACAAGTTTTATTTTTGTAGCGTATCTGTAATGTTCGTTGCGTATTTGATACGCTTGGATTATATTTTACTGTGTATTTCTGCATTTCTGATTATCTTGAGCTCTGTAATATATTGGCTAGTGAACAATCCGACTTAGCACCCTTCCGATTGATCAATGTGTACAAGACTTATTTATTCGTGTATATACAAACTCGTGTTTTATATGCACCCTTCATTATTGGCAATTAAATTCTGGATAATATATCTGTCATGTATAATACGCACATACATTTCTTTTGCATCATTTCAGGCTGTCAGCATAAACTACGAAATTTACAATCTTTCAACTCTGTTTTTTCTCTCACCAAAATTATATTCTAATAAGACCCCCCTATTTCCAATTTTGAGAGCGCCCTGGGCGCTTATTACGTCGAATACGGTATTTGTTTTGGCCTAAAGAGCATGGCATATTCTTGTGAGAACAGAAAACAACATGGAAATCCAGGTCTGAATGAATTAAACCTCTTGCATTCTGTCGTTACTCAAAATATGCCGAGTGACGATCATTTGTGAACTCGAATAAAAAAAAAAATATACGAGGAAGATAATAAATCTCATGTCCGTCTGTTTCTTTCAAACCACATGTTAGGCTAGCACCCTCTGTTGGCAGATTGGATATTAATGAACTTGCTAAATATGAAAGAAGAAATTATTTATTTGCGAGATCAGTAGTATAGGTGGTAGAGTGATGTGTTCTGGGATTTATCTAGACCTGCTCAGAGGCTGATATTCAACTAATAACAGCTAATGGCATTGATATTCCCAAATTGGAATTAAAACATTCCCAATTCATTTAACATCGTTTATCTTTTGTGATGACTTGTGGATGTTCCCGAGGCAAGGGCGTTAAGTGGCCATTAAAATGAAGTTTCCATCCTTGCCAGACTAGGCTGGAATTCCGGAGTTATGTTTTGGCAGGAACGCCCTTGGGTAGGAGGCTTAATGATAAGTTTTACATTATTGAATGTAATGTTAATATACAATGATAAAACACGCCTGAATTTAAGGAAAAAAGGAACATATACGAAACGGGGACTGCTTCTTGACTTGAAGAACAGACAAAGGTGTTGATCGCAGTTATAGCCAAGTCTATTACTGATAAATCAAACCCTGAAACAATTGTAAAACATTCATTAGACAAAATATAAATATATGCTGACATCAAATATATCATTCAATTTGATGATATACAAAATGTTATAACTGCTAATAGATAAACTTTCATTACGTCAACACTTAATTAATCTCATATTATAAACCTACTTAATACATACATGTATTGGATATACCGTAATCGACGTAATAAGCGCCAATGGCGACATTTGCTAATATATTGGCTGGTGAACAATCCAGCACCCCTTCCGATTGATCAATGATCACAAGACTTATATATTCACGTATAATACGCACTTGTGTGTTATGTGCACCCTTAGTTATGGGTTAATAAATTCTGGAAAAATATATGTGTCGTACATAAACACTTCAGGCTGTCAGCATAAACCACGAAATCTATCTTTCAACTCTGTTTTTTCACCAAAATAATATTCTAATAAGAGCCCCCTATTTCTTATTTTGAGAGCGCCCTGGGCGATTATTATGTCGAATATGCTACATATCCAAATGTATCCTATTACCCGACCCTACCCGGGTACCCACTGTAGGTCTCAAGAGATAGGCACAAACAGTCTGATGGGAAAAGTTTGCCCTCGCAAAATGTATTCAGATGCACATATTAAACGATCAGGTCATGCATACACTGAAGTTTACTGCATGAAGTTTTATCTTTATTCCAACATATACAAGTCAGAAGGAATGGGTGCATAGTCAGAAAGAAAAGGGAACATTAGTGACTTGTAGTGTAACCACAGAGTTTTAGATAATTTTTGTCATTAAACAATATATCACGTGACTAACCACGGTTCCAGGTAGTCCTGCGAGTACCCGGGTTCTACTCAATACCCACCCGACCCGAGTACCCGCGTTACCCGTCCCATTTACCATCCCCAAACACACTAGCGTGATAACCTCTAAATGCCTACAAATCCGAGGAATACATACAAACTATAAAATATCAACAGAAGACTAACCTTTAGAAATGAATCCAATTGTCCATGAATGAATCACAAGACTTATCCAATTGTGAATACCACAATGTCCAATGCTATACTTGTGATCATCTGATAGTAACATCAAATGTGATATCTAAACTGTAGTAAAACAAAACCCTATAAACTGAAGACAGTAAGCTATGGAGTTAAGTGAGTTGGGTTTAACGCCACTTTTAACACTATTCCAGTCATATCACGGCGTGTCAGCTTAATGTGGGAGGAAAGCCCGAAGTGATGCAGGTCTCAGACGTTTACCACGAGCACAGGTATGGTGCTGACAAACCTAGAAACATAATCGGGGCGAACCATGATTCGAACCCACAATCATAGGTTTCTGGCGTGCCCAAGGGACGCAACTCTGCACAGCGAATCGCGGCGCCTTAGACGACTGGGCCACCCGTGCCCCCCTATGGAGTTAAACACAAAGGGGCAGTAAGGGGCGCGCTTGGGCAGTGATAGTGCACTAGACCAGAGGCTGTGGCAAAGTACTCATGCAGTCAGCTGAAACAGAGAATTAGGAAAGCTGAAGTGTGACGTATAATGTTTAAAACATACTTGACTGAATATTTAATTCAGTAGAAAGATAAAAACTAATAGAATTCCCAAAATATATAAAACTATTTTATCCTGTCACATGTAAAAAAAATCAAAATTTTAAACAAAGTAACAACTTTTTTCTTGATTTGCCTGCCAAGAGCTTTTAGTTTTCGATCTTGGATAAATCGATGGTACCGTATTCGACATAATAAGCGCCCAGGGCGCTCTCAAAATTAGAAATAGGGGGCTCTTATTAGAATATTATTTTGGTGAAAAACAACAGAGACGAAAGATCGTAAATTTCGTGGTTTATGCTGACAGCCTGAAATGTTTATATACGACAGATATATTTTTCCAGAATTTAATTGCTCATAATTAAGGGTGCATATAACAAACGTATCATGCACGAATAAATAAGTCTTGTGGTCATTGATCAATCGGAAGGGACGCTTATTGGGAATGTTCACTAGCAAATATATTAGCAAATATCGCCGTGGGTGCTTATTAGAGCGGGGCGCTTATTACGTCGAATACAGTATTTATCTTATGTTGAAAATGCAAAACCAGGGAAGCAATGCTGCTTCTATGATAATGCTGTGTTGTTACAGTTATTAGCTCACCCATATTGTTCCTAGATTAGAAAAAATTTAACTTTAACTTTGACAAGAGTAACCAAAGTCTGATGTACTGAAGAGGAACCCTTTTCAAACAGACTGGTTTATGGCAGTATTTGCATTGCATCATATTTAAAATGTGAAAAGATAAATTCTTCACTCAGTCTGTTTCCCAGAATCTATTTTTGATATTGGGATTTCCCTTTTTGTTTATTGTTAACAAAGTGCCCAATTTAGCTTTGATTATTCCTATTTCAGTTCCAATTATTTTTGCCTTCCCTTGTAAATGACACATTATGTATTGTTTTTGCAGTGGTTCTCCGATGCCATTACCAAAGATCCCTTCTTGGCGGTGGCCTATTTCCAAAGAGGATGCACATACCTCAAGCTACAAAGGTGAGTTTTATGAACACCAACAAAGTTGGTTCCTTGACTGAAAGTGGTGTGTCATGGTGTTTGCTCCATTGCCAGCTTATGTTTTCAATATCTCCTTTGAAACCACAAGGCCAATGATGGTTGTATAGATACCAAGCCTAACAATTATGGACTCTGTTGATTGAGTTGGTTGTTCATTATTTTTCAACATAATCTCCCCTGACGTCCACATCCTTCTACCAATGATGCTGGAGTGTCTGGATCCCGCTGATGTAGAAGGCTTGCTCCTGGTGGTTTAAAAAGTCCTCCTAAATTAACATAATCATTTGCATAATGGTTACCATATTAGTTCTTTCATCAAGTGTGGCATCTGCACCAACAGTGTGTAGCAGCCATAAAATTTCCGAGTCCCTTGGTGGGATTCGAACCACGGACCTTCTGATCAGAAGTTGGACACCTTGTCCACATGACCAAAGAGGTTAACCCCGTCAGCAAGCTGACAAGGTAAGGATGTCATCTGTGGGATGACTCTACGCCCTGCTACATATTCCCCCGTCAACAGAAGGCATGTCCCGGGCCGCATATTAGGGATTGAGGCTTATTTTGCTCAAATTTAATATGAACGCGCTGAGCCCCACGTCGGGTGCCAATGTAGCGGCCCTCAAATTTCCGAGTCCCTTGGTGGGATTCGAACCACGGATCTTCTGATCAGAAATTGGACGCCTTGTCCACATGACCAAAGAGGTTAACCCCGTCAGCAAGCTGACAAGGTAAGGATGTCATCTGTGGGATGACTCTACGCCCTGCTACAAATGGAGCCAGTTAAAGTCAGTATATCAAAGACAGGGGACATAACTCTAGATATATTTGCATGATTATGCAAGGCATTTTGCTATGACTTGTCAACTAAATGGTTTGTCAAAATATTAATGTCAAATTGAGCATCATAAGTTTTATAAAAAAAAATTAAAACACTGATCATGCTGATTCAATTCAAAATAATTTTGCATGTATGTCTTTGAAAAAAAAAGAGTGTAAATTTGGATATTTCTTTTTTCCAATTTTGAAGAAAAAGACGGCCAGTGGATGTGTGATCCAACAAATAGACAAATAATGGCCCTATTAGATGCACAACATGTTTCATTGTGTTTTAGGGGTGAACACATAAGTAAACACAAAGTAAATATGTGCTTTTCAGATATTATTTTTTCAATTTTCATTTTCAAGGGGTATCTGTAAATCAATTGAAAAAAAATATTTTGCCAAATAACTGATGACAATGATTATTGCAGGTACAGGGAGGCGGGGGTGGACTTTCAGAGTACACTGGAGAAGATGCGAGGAAGCAGTCTGATCGACTACAGGCAGCTAGGCCTTCCCATCAAACTCTACACAAGCCAGGTGAGGTCTCCATCTTGTATGTCAGTGTCACGAGATTCAATGTTCTGCGCTTCTTTAACATAGGTTAGAATAGCACCCTATTGCTTGTCGTGAAAAGCAACTAAATTAGGACGGTGTTCATAATGTCGACCATTGGTTTTGTTTGATTCAGCATGGACTACTGGGGAGTAATTCTACCCCAGATTACGTGGGGCGATGTATCTTAAGTTTTTGTTTTGTTTGTTTGTTGTTTAATGCCGCACTCAGCAATATTCCAGCTATATAATGGCAGTAAAAAATCAAGTTTGGACCAGACAATCCAGTGATTGACATCATGACATCGATCTATGCAATTGGGATACGATGACATGCATCCACCATGTCAGTGAGCCTAACCACCCGATCCCGTTAGTTGCCTTTTACGACAAGCATTGTTGCCTTTTATGGCAAGCATGGGTTGCTGAAGACCTATTCTATCCCGCATCTTCACGGGTATAACATTATGTGATCCTTGGATGCTGAGAGACGTTGCTGATGGTAAATCTGGACTCACCCATGAAGCTGCCATCAATTGAATTTTGAAAGCTGTGATCCATTTTGAAATTTAAGCAAAATTCTTAATGCTATTTTTATTTTTTTATTCTGCATCCACGTTTTACCAGGAAGATGCCCTGTGGTAATCCTATGTCCACCACAAATGATGGTTCAAACTATTTGAAATACAGACCTCAATTTCTACACTCATTATATTGTAACCATTGTAAAAATTGTGTTTGCTCCAAACATATTTTTTTGTACGAATGATCATCATGATCATGATGATCAGAATTGACACATATTTTATGGCTCGTAATGGGCCTCCCTAACTATGTATCACAAGCATACAAACTCCTATTGCCACCATGACAGATGTGTGCGCATATAAAGGGAAGTAACTTCATGCTATTTTGGATCACATTGTTATCCTTCTGTTATCTGCGTCCTTCTGTTACGTTCGTGTTCCTCTGTTACTGTCGTGTCCCTCTGTTACTGTCATGTTCCTCTGTTACTGTCTAGTTCCTCTGTTACAGTCTAGTTCCTCTGTTACTGTCATGTTCCTCTGTTACTGTCATGTTCCTCTGTTACAGTCTAGTTCCCCTGTTACTGTCTAGTTCCTCTGTTACAGTCTAGTTCCTCTGTTACTGTCTAGTTCCTCTGTTACTGTCTAGTTCCTCTGTTACTGTCATGTTCCTCTGTTACAGTCTAGTTCCTGTTACTGTCTAGTTCCTCTGTTACAGTCTAGTTCCTCTGTTACTGTCATGTTCCTCTGTTACTGTCTAGTTCCTGTTACTGTCTAGTTCCTCTGTTACAGTCTAGTTCCTCTGTTACTGTCATGTTCCTCTGTTACTGTCTAGTTCCTGTTACTGTCTAGTTCCTCTGTTACTGTCATGTTCCTCTGTTACTGTCATGTTCCTCTGTTACTGTTTAGTTCCTCTGTTACTGTCATGTTCCTCTGTTACTGTTGCATCCTTCTGTTACAGGTACTGATGAACCTGGCTCTGGTGTTACAGAACCAGTCTGACACACAGGGAGTGTGTAAATGTGTCCACGACGCATCTCGACTTGTGAAGGATCCACAACATGAACCAGTCGTCGTCACTGCCTTGTCCTCCTTGCCGGTTGGTGTTTACAGAATCTCATGCACAATTCCTGTCTAAACTAATCTATGAATGTGAATATGTCAGCTGTCCTGTCATCTATGGAATAGCAGAAGTGGTGATTGTTTGTTTGTTGTTTAACGCCGCACTCAGCAATATTACCGCTATGAGCATCGATCAACGCAATTGGAATACGATGACATGCATCAACCAAGTCAGCAAGCCTGAAAACCCGATCCTGTTAGTCGCCTCATACAACAAGCATTGTTGCTTTTTACAGAAAGCATGGGTTGCTGAAGACCTATTCTCTACCCGATATTCAAAATCTTTTCCAGATCTTCAGGTCAATGGAGGTAGTATCAGTAGTAGTAGGGTAATAACTCACCAATATCTGAATAAGTCCGGATAAACTTAATGACCTGTTTTACAGATTTCTATGCCCTGAACGCACGATGGAAAAATATTTAAATATAATCACCTTTTACAAAAATCAATCAATGACTTTATTGATCATGTTTATAACTGCTTGGTCCCTGTTGCCATATTTTCTTGTGTTATTTACTACCACCTTTTTTATGTTTTTGTTCTCATGTTTTTGACATTTACCCGATTCAAGGGCATTAACTGACTGTAAAAATTCAGTTTCTAACTTGGCCTAACCAGGCTGGTATTTCTAGGCTCGATCGTTGCTCCACCAGTGGCTATTATGAGTTATGTTCCTTCCATGTCCCTCCTATTGACCAATCAGATTCCACCTCTCATGTCACTTACATTGCATCAAACAAAATGGTGGTGAAAACATAACACTTGTCTCTGAGAAAATGGCATCACAAGTCAGTATCTTGTGTGTCCCCCATGTGCATTGATGACTGCCGCACAACGTCGATAAATGGAATGGATGAGGCAGTTGATGAAGGCCATGGGCACTTGAACCCACACTCTGAGCTGCAGTAGTCGGCCTTGGTCGGACGTCATTCAGCCGTCTTTGAATCTCGTTCCATAGGTGCTCAATGGGATTAAAATCGTGACTGAGTGCAGGCCACTGCATGGTTCTGATGCCATTCTGCTGGAGGAAGTCTCTTGTTGCTCTCGCAGTGTTGGCACGGGTGTTATCGTGTGAACTCGTGGTTGCGGCGATGTGCCAAATGAGGTATGGCGACTTGATCAATGTACCGAGCTGCTGTGACACCATTGCCTCTCCCTGGCCCGATGTTCTGAAACACCACAGGGCCGACTCTCTGTGCAAGGCCAATTCCACCCCACACCATGATCTTGGAATAACGTTCCCTATGGCATCGCGAGACTCTCTCTCTGCCATCTGCTTTTGAGATACAGTAACAGCTCTCGTCTGAGAAGAGAACTCTTCTCCACTGCTGGTGGCGCCAATGCTAGTGCTGTGTTGCCAACTGAAGACGGTCCCGGCGATGACGTGGTGTCAGAATGGGTCCTCGCTGTGGCCTGTGACAGTGGAGGTGTCTGCTCGTCAATCGTCGACGCACGGTATCCGCACTGATGTGTCGCTGGTTTGTCCCTATGGTCTGTCGAGCAGTTTCCGCAGCAGTAACAAAATGATCTTGAAGATGCTGTCGCACAATCTGACAAATCTGACGTTGGGTGGTGACCCTTGGTCTGCCACTACGTGGTCGATCATCTGTAGAGTTGGCGGTCTGGTACCGTTGCTGGAGCCAGTATATGGTCCTTATGTGGACTTGAAATGCATTGGCTTCTTGCCAGGCGGTTTGTCGAGCATGTAATCGTCCAAGGGCTTGGTTTTGCTGATTCCTCATCAATCTTGGTATGTGGTAGCATACTTTGACAAAAATTACCCAAATATTTAAATGACAACTTATCATGCAATGTTACTTGAAGTGACGTTTCTTTTGTGGTTCAGTATATACACACACACATGATTATCGACTATCGACACACGATTACTTCCTAACTCTTTTGGTGTGTGTGTGTGTGTTTTGTGTGTGTTTTGTGTGTGTGTGTGTGTGTGTGTGTGTGTGTGTGTGAAAAGGGCTAAACAGTGACATTAGGATTTGTAAAGTGATGACTCAAGAAATATTTTGATAATGTAGAGTATTTATGGCTTTGACCATGGTGACAACTGGGATGTGTTGTGGTGAGGTGTTTTTCGAAGCTGGAAATTTTTTTTTAGGATCATTTCAACACCAGGATCAAACAAGAGGGATGAAATGTATTGTTTGGGATCGGATAAGTACAAAAAAATATAAAATTTATTGTAAGATTTTCACTTTGTTGCAGACTCCATGTCTTTCACTGCTGGAGTTCCCCATAAAGGAGTTGGTATTCCGTCCGGCGAAGTCACTGGTTGCCAACCTACAGAAAAAGGACTTCTTGGGCCAGGCAAAGGTAGGACTGTTCAGTAAATATGCTGATTTGAAATATAAAACAATTTCTTGTCTGCATCAGTGATTGATAGAAACTCACAGTTTATCAAAACCATTAAAAAGTGAAAATTTCTACTCGTCCTTATGATACATAAACTATTGCGCAGTTTGGCAAGGACTACAGGACTAACGCTGTGCATGTTGTGCAATGGAATATTAAATATTAACAAAAATGAGAATTCCCTCACTGTTCTTGATAATGAAATATTTCAGATACCGTATTTGACGTAATAAGCGCCCATGGCGCTCTCAAAATTGGAAATAGGGGGCCCTTATTAGCATATTATTTTGGTGGAAAAACAGAGTTAAAGATAAATTTTGTGGTTTATGCTGACTGCCTGACTGTTTATATACGACAGATAAATTTTTCCAGAATTTTATTGCCCATAATTAAGGGTGTATATAACACACGAGTGCGTATTATACCCGAATAAATAAGTCTTGTGTACATTGTTCAATCGGAAGGGGTGCTACTTGGGATTGTTCACTTGCCAATATATTAGCAAATATCGCCGTGGGCTCTTATTAGAGCGGGGCGCTTATTACGTCGAATACGGTAATAAATTTTGGGAACTAAACGTGAATCTCTTCTTAAAAAAGATGATGAAATGTAAATGTGACAAATTAACTAAATATGATTCTCAAAATCTATTGCTATCAATCTATCAGTTTAGCCCTGATTTTGGCTAGCATTGCTGTGTCCTATTGCGACATCCTATCGTAACACATTCTACTACGTCCTATCTTGACGAGCTATAAAAAGAAATTGTTCAATGTACGTCCTATCACGACGACATATCAAACCAAACTGAACAATATACGTCCTATTGAGCCGAACTATCAAACCAGTGTCACAAATGTACGTCCAAACGCGACAACATCTCAAAACCGAAGTGAACTAAACTCAAGTAAGTCCGATTTTTCTCATGACAGCACGTGCCATGTCATACTTTTCCTTTTTCTCTTCGAAGCAAGTTGCGTTCTAGCTATCTGTTCAAGCTTAACATGTCTTCAACCCAGTGCATAAGAACAAATACATTCCATATTAGGCATGTTAAATGTGGCCTAAATACACGTAATCATCAACTTCAGATTTTAAGAAGGGCAACTGGTGCCCAATTGTTTAAGATGCCCCATTTGCTGTAAAGCTCTTAATGCTGACGTCGAACCCATTCGGGGGTTCCCGAAGAATATAGGATCTATGCTTGTCATAAGAGGTGACTAAGTTGATCGGGTGGTCAGACTAGTTGTCTTGGTTGATTGCATATCATTGTAATAATCCAAAACTGGCTCCCACAGGAGATATCGCTTGGGTGAGATCAAGCGATATCTACACTGTAGATGAAATTACATCACAATGCTTTGCAGACCATTGTCACGTCACCGGTTACCATGACGTCACAATCAAATGACATCACTAATGGCTCTGCTACTGAAGCTGTTAGTAGTACTTTTTACACTGAAAACACTGCTAATTACTTTCTACAAATTGAAAAAGTTGGAAGAATGATGTTGGATGATAAATAAAATCTCACCCTTGTGTCTTTTGATATCAAATATATCAACACTCGTTGATAAAAGTGGCAAAAATCCTTGGCAAGCCTCGGAATTTTTCCACTTTTATCAACTCGTGTTGATATATTTGATATCAAAAGACACTCGGGTGAGATTCTCTATATCCCAATTGCATAGCTTGATGCTCATGATGTCAATCTCGGTAAGGGCTTGGACAAGTCCAAACAAGAACCCAATCTCCTGACACCCGACCATACCCAGGTACCTGTGGTACGTCTCATGAGATTGGAAATGGTTTGACTGGAGACCTGGTAAAAAGGATTTAGATACCAGCGGTAGAAACAGTTTTAGTCTGTATACCGATAACATAGATAACATGCTAACAACTTCTGTAGCACAGCCATTAGTGATGTCATTTGATTGTGACGTCATGGTAACCAATGACGTCACAATGGTCTGCAAAGCATTGGGTTGCAATTACATTACAGCGATATCTACAGTGTAGATATCGCTTGATCTCACCAAGCGATATCTCCTTTCGGGAGCCAGGTTTGGATGATAAAGTGTTATCCCAAATATAACATTTGTCATCATGTTTGGTGTGATTGACAGGTGGTGTCGTCCATGTCTCGGCATGACAAGTTCGTTGGATTTGAAGGTGCCAGGAAGGTGAGAAATATTTCCTTCAAGTTTTAAAGAACTTTCCATTGAAATCTTAAGGGATTTGATACCTTTCTCTGTCCAGATTGGACCAATTCAGAATGGGTCCTCATCAAACAGTGCTTCTTGTAAGAGTCGTCTTAAAGATGGATCAGGCAATGTGAGACACAGATTGGCCAGAGGATTATGTTACAAAGTACCTTTAGGACAATAATAGATATTTTCTGGTCCATATCTGTGTCATTTTCAACCACTAGCATTTTCAATTTTCTGGATTTTAACCAAGGGTAGGTAACTCTGACCTTTCTTGAAAGTGAAAGTACAAAATGGACCCATCTTCCCGAGGCAAGGCTGTTAATTGACTGTAACAGTTCAGCTTCAAGTTGCAGGACTTGGCTGGAATTTCTGGGCTCAATCATAGCGCCACCAGTGGCTATTACGAGTTAAGTCCCTCAATGTCCCTCCAATTGACCAATTAGATTCCAGGTCTCATATCACTTGAATTTGCTTCATAAAAAATGGCAGCACTAAGTCATGACGATCAGATTGATAGTCAAGATCTAAATTGAAATGAAACAGGTCTTACCTTGGAAAGTGCATCAGATCACTTGAGCACCTTGATTAAGAACATGAAAAGATTTGGAAAATATCTGCTGACACACAATTGACCAAAATCTGAACGTTGAATCCATGTTGTTTACGAACCGGATGTCTAGTTCATTATGCAATTATCATTGGATTATGCATAGATTTGTTAGTCCAGTCAAAATGTAACTCCAGAATTCCAGCCTAGTTTGGCAAGGGTGGTGACTGGACTTCCATAGTCAGTTATCTCCCTTGCCTTGGGAAGATGACTGGACATGACGAGTGACGCATGTGGTGTCTGTTCTGGTTCAAGTGTGTTGATGAAGATGGAGAGATTATAAGGTCAAATGGAGTGTAGACATCACTCATGTGAACCCTATGAATCGCTGCAAGAAAGGCATTCTAATCCTGAAGAAAAATAGGTGTTTCCTTCATAATACAAAGATTGTACAGTTTCGGATGGTGAATCATCAGATGACCTTGTCCCCCAAATAACTGGAATGGTCTCACCATTGACTAAACCAAAAGACTAGAAAGACAATACCCTCTTTGTCCTTATTGCGTCCTTATTGTGGGGATTGCTTATGTTACCAGGCCCAAAAGATTGTTTCAAATATCTGATTTGTAAAGTGATGGAGTGAAGCAGGCAATTCGTAAGTTTAACACTTTGATTGAAGGGTTAAAAGTTAAAGTTGTCCATAACCCACCTGTTGAAAGTTAAAGTTGTCCATAACCCACCTGTTGAAAGTTAAAGTTGTCCGTAACCCACCTGTTGAAAGTTAAAGTTGTCCATAACCCACCTGTTAAGTTAAGGATTAAGTGGGCCTAGATTGAGTTATCTTTGGAGAGGACCTCAAAGATGTTTGATACTATTTTCAATGGATATTATTCTCATAAGACACAAATCCTACTGAAATATATTTCAGTCTTGTAGATAATCATATCACTATATTTTTTCATACAGTGCCATTCAAATCCAGCCTCACCAAATCCATCCAGAAAAAGTGACCATCTAAGTGTTGACAATGTCAAGGCCATGAAGGGGTCCTTGACCCCTCCACCTCCGACCCGACCTCCTCCTGTGCTGCCACCTACAGCTATCAGGGACTTCAACAATAAATTTCTCCAAACAAGCTCAGGACAAAATGGCCACGTAAGGTCAAGTTCAGGTGAAAGGTCAAGGCCAATTCCCCCGAGTCGTGCTCCACCAGTTTTGAAAAATGGGACAGCCTCAGTGAAGAAAGACAAGCCTCCACGTCCACCGCCTCCGGTATTGAAGCGAAAGGTGTAGCTGTGATGAACAAGTCAATTTCAGTCTTGTTTTTAACAATGCCAATAGAAAATTCATAATTTATTACCTTTTTTAACTTGAATTATGTGTATTTTATTTCTTGATAGCTAGTCAAAAATCTGTTTTATCACTTACTGTTATGGTATAGCATTAAATGAAGCAGGTCGAGATATTTTGCAGTTCAGAAATAGTTTTACAGGTTCTACCAACCCTCACAGTAATGAAAAGCTGGAAAACTAATGTGAAAAGCACCCAATGTTTTTTTCCACTGAACGCAGATTTACGTTATCACCACAAAATTGTGCATTGCATGTTAAGCTGCACAACTGATGAGACAAACTAACACAATACACACCAACATATTGAGCAGGAATTTACATAGCTGCAAACAAAGAAATATAGGTTTTTGCCTTGCTTGTGCCATGGCTGCAGTAATCCACTCCACTCCATGCCACTCGAGTATACTCCACTCCACATGAGTACAGTCCACTCCATGCCACTCGAGTATACTCCACTCCACATGAGTACAGTCCACTCCATGCCGCTAGAGTATACTCCACTCCACATGAGTACAGTCCACTCCATGCCACTCGAGTATACTCCACTCCACATGAGAACAGTCCACTCCATGCTGCTCGAGTATACTCCACTCCACGTGAGCACAGTCCACTCCATGCCGCTCGAGTATACTCCACTCCACATGAGTAGTCCACTCCATGCCGCTCGAGTATACTCCACTCCACATGAGAACAGTCCACTCCATGCCGCTCGAGTATACTCCACTCCACATGAGTAGTCCACTCCAAGCCACTCGAGTATACTCCACTCCACATGAGAACAGTCCACTCCATGCCACTCGAGTATACTCCGCTCCACATGAGTACAGTCCACTCCATGCCGCTAGAGTATACTCCACTCCACATGAGTACAGTCCACTCCATGCCACTCGAGTATACTCCACTCCACATGAGAACAGTCCTATCCATGCCACTCGAGTATACTCCACTCCACATGAGTACAGTCCACTCCATGCCGCTAGAGTATACTCCACTCCACATGAGTACAGTCCACTCCATGCCGCTAGAGTATACTCCACTCCACTCCACTCCACTCCACATGAGCACAATCCGCTCAATGCCGCTCGAGTATACTCCACTCCACATGAGTACAGTCCACTCCATGCCACTCGAGTATACTCCACTCCACATGAGAACAGTCCTCCATGCCGCTCGAGTATACTCCACTCCACATGAGTACAGTCCACTCCATGCGGCTCGAGTATACTCCATGCCACTCGAGTATACTCCACTCCACATGAGTACAGTTAAGACCTTTCTATTCTATATATGAACACCAGTCCATTCTGTATGTGAAGTGGTCACACGATGCCCAGTAATCTAAGGTGCTGCACTTGGCTGTGCAGAGTTGCATCCCTTGGGCACGCCAGAAACCAATGATCATGGGTTTGAATCCCCTGATTATGTTTCTAGGTTTGTCAGCACCATACCAAAGTGGTAAACGTCTGAGACCTGCATCACTTCGGAATTTCCTGCCATGTTAAGCTAACACTGAAACATGTAACTTTAATACTGTTTAAACCCAACTCACTCACTCACTCTGTATATGAACACCATTCAATCCTGCAATTCACTGTTTTCAGTTATGATTGTATGTTTTGTATGTTTATATGTGTTTGCTCAAGATCTCCACAGTCCCATACACTTGTATACAAGAACCTAGTCTTAAATGTCTTTACAAAATATTGTAATCAGAACTAATCACTCAATTATGCCAAATGTATGTCTTTTGTATGCACCACGACTTTTGTATGTGAGCAGGTGAGCTACAGCACCTCGCTATGCAGTGTTGTGCCCCTTAGATTTAAAGATCTGCAGGTTGGGGTGCCATGCCTGTTTTGTTATTATCCTTATCCGTGCTCATTTTCATTCAGTGGTAAACGTCTAAGGGACTGCTAACTTATTATGGGATGTATGGCAGAGGTTTTTCATGCAAGAAATGAACCTCCCTTATTGCTCAGCGGTAGAAACTAACATTTTTAGTCCACTAGTCCTTATAATGATAACATATAGCAAAACCCTTAAAAATGGAAAATTTCTACTAGTCCTTATGATACCTTAACCATTGGGCAGTTTGGCAAGGATTATAGAACTAGTGCCAATTTCTAACACTGTCTCCTATTTTTCGATTACCCTCCCCATGAAAAGACAGCTAAAGCTCCTTAATTAAAATGTCCAATTTTTCATGACCCTCCCCAAATGTGTGTATTATTGTTTTGTTTTTGGTGACCCTCCCCTGATTTCCTGTGACCCAACCCACCCAGTCCCGAACAGTGGCCTGATGGATGGCTATGTACTATCAGGATATAAAATGTAAATCTGATTATGTTTCTTGGTTTGTCAGCACCCTACGTGCTCGTTGGTCTCACCAAAATGGTAAACACCTCAGACCTGCATCACGTCAGGGTTTCCTGCACATTAAACTGACACGCCATGATATAACTGGAATACTGTTCAAAGAGGCGTTAAACCTGACTCCCTCACTCACTGTGTCTCTGAGCAGAGCCATATGCTGTAGTTCCACAGACAGCAGGGGTAATAATAATGAAAATAATAAAAAGTGCATTTATAATGCGCCAGATTCCATTCACCAAGTGGATGCTCATAGCGCTACACTATTATTACTCCGGTCTATGGATCAGTGAGCACTCGATTTTCATTCTCAGCTCCCTGGGGAGTATACAACCCAAGCTGCCTGTGAGACCAGTTGTCATATCCAATCAGTCTGCAGCTCATTTTGGACAAGCGATATTGTTCAATAGCTAGATTTTGGGAGGAAACAACTAACTCTGTCTAGATTTTCACTTGTCTCGGACTAATGAGCTCGTGGCAATGTCTATTCCTGTATATTGTGAAGAGTTTGCCCTTAAAGCATTTTTCATTTTCCTCTCAAGGCCCAAATACCTTCTGCCCACATCTTCCTGAGGCAAGGGAGTTAACTGGCTGTAAACGTTTACTTTCCACCCTTGCCGGACTGGGTTGGGATTTCTTGGCTCAATCGTGCCACCAGTGGCTAGTACAAGTTATGTCCCTTTAAGTCCCTCCACGGTGGCGCCCAGTCAAGACAATCTGATCAATGATCAAGATCTATATTGTAATAAAACGGGTCTTACTTTCCGAGTGCATCAAATCATATGAGCACCTTGATTAAAATTGTGAAAAGATTATCTGTTGCCAAGTTGACCTGATTAAAGTCAAGTGAGCTTATGTGATGGCCTCCTTGTCCAGCATCCGCCGTGCCGTAAACATAATCTCCCCAGGAACCACTGGACCAATGAAGCTAAAAGTTCACATGCTAGTTCCCACAAATGTTGACACCTGAAGAGGTTTTATTTTAAATTTCAATTATATTTTAAAATCATTTTTGGTCCTTTACTTGCTCATTTTTTTACAAAATGTCATGAAATTTGGTATATATCTAGTTAGCAGTGTGGCTCAACATATATGATCCTATTTTGTGATATTGTACGTTGCTATTTTTATTCAGCCTTTGCGCTTTGATGTGAATTCTCTCAAAATGAATTTTATTGCAGAATAAATATTTTCTCTTGAAGTTACCAGATATCTGATTATGAACAGAAATTTGTTAATCATTAGTTGAGTAACCTCCTTTTTTAATGAAAATATTATGTTCGATCAATCCATTGTACCTATATTTGTCAGTATATAATATTTTTTTTGTTTTTCTGGTCTGCAATTGTCAGATTATAAACCTGAACGTTTCCGATTTCACAATAATCAAATGTATGGATCGTTCATTGATTGAAATGCCCTTATATCTTTCAAGCTACATGATAAATAAATTGTGATTTTTTTACCACAAATGTTCATCCCATATGTTCATACCTACTGTATCATTGTAACCCTACGGACAAAATACACCTCACTTTGTGAATCTCACCGTCACGATGATCACAAATCGTAATTATAGGATTGGACATATTCCCAAGGCAAGGGAGTTAACTGACCTTAAAAGACCACTGGAATTTTAAAGTCAGTTACCTCCCTTGCCTCAGGAAGATGAGGATTGGGTGGTCTGGATTGGTCACTTGATTGATAGCATGACATCATACTTCAATTGTTGCTCACATGGGCGGATACAGAGGCGGGGGTGCGCACCCCCTCTTTTTATTTCCCAAAAAAATCTTTATTTCTGTTTAAATTACCACCAAAGACAATAAATAGATCTTAATTGTGCACCCCCCTTTTCAAAAAAGCTGTATCCGCCCATGGCTCATAATACCAATCACTTGATCACCTAATCCTGACTTGATTATTTACAGGTTGCCATCTTAATGCTCGAATAATGCTGCAGTATACAATAAAATAAGCTTACGACAGAGGTGTGAGTAGATGGATGCTGTATGCCCCATTGAAATAGTGTTTTAAAATTATTAGACAGGCTCAAACAAATATGGGGTGGGATACCCAGGGTTTAAAGCTGCCTCTCATGCTGAAAGCCTAGGTTTAATTAGATCTGTACAATATGTGAAGCCCATTTCTGGTGATATTGCTGGAAGATTGCTGAATGTGGTATAAAACCATACTCAAATCACGCAAAGATTCAGATTTTAAAGGAAAAACAGATTCAGTCTGAAATATGTATTTTATGTGAGGATTCTGTTGCTTGAATTAGTAAACAGGGTAGGATGTATTGTTATAATGGAAGGCCTACACTCCCTCAAATATTCTGAACAGGTTTTAGAAGAATGTTGTTGAATGTCACATATTTATCATGACTCATTGTGCTGGTCACATGATATTTATGAATATTATTCATGTTATTCCATGTAGTTATACAACTTAATGTGTCAAACATCATTCCATTCTTGCCATTCAGCTAACTCACGGAATCTTTGTTTATTAAATTAATTTATTAAAACATTATCACGCACATGTACAGCTTATGTTGTTTTATCAAGTGGCTCTTGTGGACACTAACACAGGGGGCATTGAAGTTGGTTGTGAAGAGTTGTCTCCCTTAGCTGTGTCAGGATTTACTGGTCATGGGTTTGAATCCTCACAAACCATGATATAGGTAATATGAAGGTTCTAAACTAAGTTACCCATGCAAATTGAAGGAAAAACAAAATGTGGACTATTTTCAAAGTTCACATTTTCATAACTTCAGAGGAGCACGGGTGGACATGGCAATTCGCTGTGCAGAGTTGCTTCCCTTAAAAATGCCAGAAACCTATGATTGTATCATTTATGTAGAGCATCTCCAGACAGATCTGATACATGGAATCCAAGATTCACCCCGATTATGTTTCTAGGTTTGTCAGCACCATATCTTTGAACCAAAGTGGTAAACATCATAGAGATGTAGATGCATTACTTCGGGATTTCCTCCCACATTAAGCTGACACGCTTATATAATTGCATTAATACTGTTAATAGCGGCATTAAACCCAACTCACTCACTCACTGGTGAAATTACCTGTGAAGATCCCAGTTAGAATAGGTCTCAGGTGCTCAGGCTTGCTGACTTGGTTGATGCATGTCATCATATCCCAATCGTGTTCATGATCGATTTTCGGGGCGGTCGGGTAGCCTAGTGGTTAAAGCGTTCGCTCGTCACGCCGAAGATCCGGGTTCGAATCCCGACATGGGTACAATGTGTGAAGCCCATTTCTGGTGTCCCCCGCTGTGATATTGCTGGAATATTGCTAAAAGCGGCGTAAAACCAAACTCACTCACTCACTCACTCATGATCGATTTTCATGATGTCAAAAATTAGATTGTCTGGTCCAGACTCGATTATTTACAGACTGCCGTCATATAGCTGGAATATTGCTGTGTTCGGCGTTAAACAACAAACAAACAAACACTGGTGAAACCTACAAGCATGTGTGTGGTGCTGACATCCCTAGAAACATGATCGGTGAATTCGAACCCACGATTCTGGCATGTATTCCTTTTCATTTGTCACATGAACTGTGCAAAGCGAATTTCGGTGCCTCAGACTGGGCTACCCTTGACCCCTGACATATGGTGATATGGAGATATGTTTTTTGATATCGGCACAAATTTAACAATTTAAACTGGCTCCTAATATGAAATGCATTCCACATTTAATCACCTAATTCAGGTAAGTTCAAGAAAATATATTAATCAAATGTTCTCTTTGGTCTTGACCTCTATGTGTGAAAACTTCAGGACATTTCTGTAGTAATATTTTCAGGACTACTTTTTTAAAGTGCAAAATAATAGATCATTTGTCTCTTGTGTCATGAAGCCTCGACTGTTTGAAGGGGGCACGGGTGGCCCAGTCGTTTAAGGCGCCGCGATTCGCTGTGCAGAGTTGCATCCCTTAGGCACGCAAGAAACCTATGATTGTGGGTTCGAATCCCGGTTCACCCCGATTATGTTTCTAGGTTTGTCAGCACCATACCTGTGCTCGTGGGTTTCACCGAAGTGGTAAACGTCCGAGACCTGCATCACTTCGGGCTTTCCTCCCCAACAAAGCTGACACTCCGTGATATGACTGGAATACTGTTAAAAGCGGTGTTAAACCGAACTCACTCACTCACTCACTCACTCGACTGTTTGAAATCGACCACCCTTTACAGCACCTTATGCTGATACGTATTCAGTTGACTGGCAAAAATGTGTGCTACAAATTCATCAGGCTATAGGGTAACAACATTGCTTTAATAGGCCAAAAATAAAATATATTTGTGTTACTCAATAGATTTACTTTGGAGAAGGTAAGAATACCTTCTTTATAAGATTGCAGTGGCCAGAGACTATACTATGTGTTAAACGAAATATCTTTCAATAAATTGAGAGTTACATTTTTGTAGTTTTTCATAATTTTATTTTTTAATCTCTCAAAGATGGAAAGAGTAGGGGTATACTAAATAATTGTAACTTACTTCATTTGATTTTCTGATGGTGTTTTGCTACTGACATGTCAAATCCGTAAAGTAAAAATAAATAAAAGTGTCAACTTTGACAACAGGGAACTTCGACTGGAACAGTCGCTATTTTATAATAAAGATAATGTAAAGAATGTGCCATCCATGTAAAACAAACAATGAAAATACAAAATAAATTTGAATTGATTTTTTATAAATGGCAGAGGATTTTATTGATTTGCAACACACACGTGACAAAAATATATTCTTTGATTTGTTTTGAATTCGCTTGTATAAAATTCATAGTGGAAACTGAGACTGTTTCCAGTCTATTATGGCTCTGGCCCTGGTAAGTGCTTGGAAGTGTGATCGAGGAGGAGGAGGATATGATCTGTCTGATTTGTTTGTTGTTTAACGCCGCACTCAGCAATATGCCAGCTATATGACGGCGGTCTGTAAATAATCGAGTCTGAAATAGACAATCCAGTCATTGACATCACGAGCATCGATCCACGCAATTGGGATACGAGGACATGCATCAACCAAGTCAGCGAGTGTGACACCCCCCCCCCCGCACAAACACACACACACACCCCGTCCCGTTAGTCGCCTCTTGCGACAAAATAGTGACCGGTCTAAGGAGATGTGATATGCAGCCACTGATACAACATGGGCACAAGCATTTCAGACTTTCCAAGACCATTCCTTTGCACAAAAGCATCAGACAAAATTGGGACGAGGCTGCCAACTGTCTTTTGGTGCGCGGGATTCGTGAGTCTGTTTTGACATGTTAGAGGGGATTCGGGACGCAGTCGTGTGGTAGGCGGTGCGGTGCGATTTGAAGTAAAATTACTGAAAAATATCGCAAAAATAAAATATGAAAAGTAAATACTTACGTTCACAATTATTAGTTTTTAAATGTTGAACGACTTTATTCGCGTCCACACTACATAGTCTCGAATACCATCTACATGCCAGCCTCAATGTTAAAAGGTGCGAAAATGTAATAAAATAATTTTCAAGATTTTTCCCTTACCTGGGTAGATCTAGATCTAGTTACCGAGTTATCATTTGGTTTGGCTCCGGCAAAAAACTGGCGCAAAGCAGAGAAACAAAAGAACATCGATCTAACTTCTGCATCGTGTGAACGAATAACGTACCACTCCCGTGACAATTTGAGGTTTAGCCTAGCTATTAGCATTATTAGAAAACAAGCTGACATGACATTGACCTGTGACAAGAAAGGGGAGGTAAGTCTAAAAAGTACCTCAATATGTCACGTGATCAAATATCGATGTTCTCATTGGTTGATATTGCTATGACCTCACCTTGTTCAAGGTCATTTGTTACTGCGGGAACAACGCTGCCCAGAGCAGACGTGCATTTTCAGCAGGATAGCAAGTATTCGTGCCAGTCGCTACAATGCCGAAGAAGAAACGTAAAAAGCGTTGCCTACCAGTTTGTTGTAGTGGTAAGTGTTTTATTATGACAAGCGAGCATTTATAATCTCTTGACGAAGATAAATATGAGTTGGTGATGGCTGCCTTTTGAATGCAGTTGGTCTAGCTGTAACCTGATCTTGTTTATTAGGCCTTTGTTTATAAAGACAGAAATGCAACACACTTGTGGTATATTATATTAAACGTACGTAGTCTAGTTACAGGCAGACATAATAAGCATACAAATATGTGAAATTATATTAAAAATGCATTTCAACAACGCAATAAAACTAGGCTAAAATATGATTCGAAGAACAAGTAGGACTGGTGCGGTCTTGTAGGTCTTGTAGAGCCTAGTTGATTGTTTGGTTTGACTACCAGTTTGAACAACATCATAGACCTATCTGTTTCTTATTGACTAGTAGAAATGTGCGTTTTTTAAGGCCTCTCAATATAAGAACCTAGATCTATATGGACGAAGACTTTGTTTCAACCGGAGATAGGCTAATACAGATTTGAGGTTTTTGTCCTGTAGACTATTTAGGCCTAGTCTGTTACAGCAATTTGAATTTTGAAGAAGAAATAAATCAACCCAAATGTCAGTCCTCTGGTGGTTCAAGAACGATGTTGTCTGCTAGTTTTCTGAAGTATTTCCAGTGGTAAAAACAAACCGTTTTAGTCCACTAGTCCTTATAAAGATAACATATAGCAAAACCCTCACAAATGGCAAATTTCTATTAGTCCTTATGATACCTTAACTATTGATCAGTTTGGCAAGGACAACAAGACTAGTGCCAATTTCTAAAGCTGATTTCAGTCAGTTACCCTAAACTACTCAAAACCACCAAGTTACAAATGTACAGTAACACTTAATTGGAGAAACTACAAAATATAGACCTAGACTGCTGCTGGAAATGGCAGCAGACCAATAACCATAGAGTATCTTTGCTATAGCTTGAACAGAATCTATGCAGCATTTTTGGAGGGAGCTAGGTGCTAGGTTCAGGCAAATTAGCATTCCCAGCATTAGAAACAAACAGTTTTCATCCACTAGGCTAGTCCTTATAATGATAACATATAGCAAAACCATTAAAAAGGGCAAATTTCTACTAGTCCTTATGATACCTTAACTTTTGGGCAGTTGATTACCCCATGACCCTGTGTTGGATAATATTTGTCTCAGATTGATACAAGTTGAATATTGCTGAGTGTGAAACCATACCACAATACAACACATTAGTTCATAAATATGATTATTCATTTTTTTTTCAGGTGCAGTTTCTCCTCTTGATGACTACAATGGTAAGTCCAGCATTACTTGTTGCATGAAATATTATCTTTTTAATGAGACCACTAAATAATATCAATCACTGTTTTTTCCGGTCCATCAAATAGCGGGAATGTCTTGTTTTCATCAGCACCTGACCCTAGAAACTAACCTGAACCTGATCTTGCAGGGTAAGAACCAAATTCAAAAGCTTTACTAGCCTGGGTTAAGATAGAATGTCCTTGTAATGTGAAAACAAAAGGGAAATTTGTACTTGCCCACAGGAATTTGTACTAGCCCTGGGTTAGTGGTCCATTGTTCTAAACCTGTTTTGTATAATTCTTTTGATGATGGGGAGTATTTCAATTCCATGCTTTCATGCTTTTATCCAAAACAAGTTTACATGTATTCTTCTGTCTGCCCACACAGCACCATCTCCTGATGAACTCCGCCATACAAATGAGGTGGAGTCAGGCAACTCGGATCACCGAGTTTGCCCCAAATCTTCAAGCTTCTCAGCCTCTGGAATAGATGTTTCTACTCTAGATCAGATTGGTAGGTAGTATACATACCATATCTCCTATTTTTTTTTTTTTTTTAATTTCTTGATTCTGGTAAGAATAGGTCATCAGTACCTGATGCTTGTCTGAAATGAGTATTGGATGGTCAGACTCTGTGACCTGGCTGATTGGATGTCATTGTTCCCAACCAGTTGCTATCAGCCACTGGTTCGCCTGGTACAGACATGGATATTGGTTTCCATGTAGACTTGGTGGAGTCATTTTTTTGGAAATAATAATTGATCCATAAGAGTTTTTTTTTAAAACAAAGATAACCCCTGTTACTTGATTTGCACATCATCCTTAACAAACCATATGAAGCCTCATAAAATCACCCTACTTGCTAGATACTTGTCGAGATAAGAGGGCAGACGCCAGAACAAAATTTCCTTTTTAAGGGATAAGGGGATTCCAGTTTAGAATTGGTCCCCAGCAACCTGTGATGGCTGCAAGAGGCGCCAAAATTGATTAGGTGGTCAGGGTTGGTGACTTTGTTGATTGTATGTCATTGCTCATTTTATCTATCACTAGTTTGTCTGGCCAAGACTTGATTATATACAACTGTCATCATACAGGTGGAATATTGCTGAGCTTGGTATTAAACAACAAACAAACCAAACAGAGTTGGGAAAGTCTAGTTGCCATGATATAGCTGGAATATTGATTGTGGCATGAAACAACATTCACTCACTCAACACTCGACTTGAACTAAAATATAAATACCATATGTCATTTACTTCGCATCCATAGACAGTCAAGATCCTGCACAAGACCTCCATCTTTCATTGGCTTTAGAGCCTAGTTCTGAAATCTCCCTTGAGGGACAAGACACAAAGGTGACATCTGTAGCAGCAGAGTCGGAAAACACTGGGACTCCAAGCAGATATGCACAGCTGGGGACAGGTAAGTGCTGGACAGTGAAATTATTTTAAAAACACTTGTTCTTGTTACTTGCGATAATATTTTCTTAATAGGAATATATGTGTGTATAGGTGAGCGTCCCCCTCAAGGGCGAAATGGCATCAGTCGAGCAGGTAAAAGTACATATTTTTGCACTTGGTGACAAGTGACACTATGTTGGCCACGAACTCTTTGCACGATGATGTAAAACTGCGAATCATGGCTCACTTCCCTAGCGTCTGACCTCGGGATGTTGTGCATGCTGTGGTTGTTACTAAGATAATTGGCCCACTGAAACAATGGCTTTAACGCACCCTAGTAGTGTAAGTACCAGTATATATGTCAGCGACCCACTCATGGGTGATATGAAGCCTCGAGCTTTGTCGAAGTCATATCACTTGCAGGGGGAAGCTTGAACCTATTTACACCACGTGGGCTTCGATCATGATACACTGCACACAATAATGCACAACTCTGAAACAAAACTTTACATTCCATCGCATCTAAATTGAATTGTGCTACCTCTGCACATGCACATGCACATGCAGGGTAGTTACAAGGAAAACAACCTGCTGATGCTGATGCACTGTAGCCAATGTTTGAAATAAAAGCATAAAATTGGAGGGCTTCTTGTCAGTTCCCTTATGCTGAATGTAAATGGTTTTGGGGTCCCTGAATTGAAATACTACAGGAGCATTAAGCCCCAGCATCCCAGTTATTTTCAAACATTAAGAATAAAATAGAGCATAAGGACCTAGTGTATCATCCTCCACATCCAACACATTGATGATCATATTTCATTTAAAAAATGATTATATTGTGCTTTGTCCCACAGGATTGCCCCCTGTCGATGAGGTTGAGAGGTCACTTGATGCTGACTTTGAAATCTCAGCTGCACCAGCACCAGAACCAGCACCAGCACCTTACCCTCCTGCCACCAGGTCATCTGAATCGAAGTCCATCCCCCTGGACCGACCTGCATCATCAGGCAGTGATTGCTCCTCAGATGCAGATACTCGCAAGACATTTTGGGCAGGACAGGACTTCAGGACCGAAAGAGGTAACTTACTTTTAAGCTTGAATTTCTAGTTCTTTTAAACATTTGAGACCCTGTAGAGGTTCTGGGTTAGAATAGGTCCCAAGCAACCTATGTGGACTGTAAGGGTGGTCAGACTTGGTGACTTGGTTATCAGGGTGTCATTGTACCCCAACGGTGTGGATTATTAGTTCCAGACTTGATTATTTGCAGTCTGCCTCAAACCATGTACAAACAAATGAATGTTTGTGTGAGTGTTTTTATCATGCACAGGTCCAGGTTTTTGCTTTAAAACAGTCCGCTGGGTCGTACAAACTGACTAAAATGGAGATTAGGAACTTGAGCCACTGGTCAGAAGCCAGATTGTAAAAAACATTCTGTTCAGTCTTGTAAACTCAGCTAATAAAAGTCCACAATGACTCCACATCATAACTCTAAATTCTACTGAAAATGAAAATGATCATGTTAGGGATACTAGACTCAAAATATTTTGACACAGACTGGGTTCTGGGATTTGTCTGATTGCGAGTCATCATACACTGATGAAGTGGATGGTTGCTCATGAATGGTTTTCAATCATTTGTTATCCCCCCGGCATATAATGCGGGGGATATAGCGATCAGCCAGTCTGTCTGTCCGTCCGTAATCATTTCCTTTTCCGGGGCTAAGTGTATTTGATCGAAACTTGGCAAAGCTATCAGGCACATACTGAAGTGGTGCCTTTTGATATTTTGGGATTTTACTAATTTTTATTTTTTTAAATTTTTATGGAATGAAGTTGGACATAGCCTCAATTGGGAATGGGGTTCGTTTCCGGGGCAGAATTCGAAAACCATTCAGAGTATTTGATCGAAACTTGGCAAAGCTATCAGGCACATACTGTAGTGGTGCCTTTTGATATTTTGGGATTTTTCTAATTTTCTTTTTTAAAATTTTTTATGGAATGCAGTTGGACATAGACTCAATTGGGGATGGTGTTCGTTTCCGGGGCAGAATTCGAAAACCATTCAGTGTATTTGATCGAAACTTGGCAAATCTATCAGTTTCATACTGAAGTTGTGCCTTTTGCTATTGAGGAATTTTATAAATTTTTATTTTTTACGTTTCCATGGCAACAAGTTGGACTTAGGTTCTATAGGGTAGAGTTCGTTTCCAGAGCATAACTCAAAACCTATTCAAAACTTTCTAACAAAACTTTGCATGTCTATCAGACTCTTGCTGAACTGGTGCCTTTTGCTATTTAGGAATTTTATAAATTTTACGTTCCCATGGCAACAAGATGGATTTAAGTTTTAATATAGGGTGGGTTCACTTATGGAGTAAAACAAATAAACTGTTAAATATTTCCATGCCAAACATTGCATGTCTATATATATATATATATAAAGCACATACTGAACTGGTGCCATTTGATACTAAGGAAGTTAATAAGTTTTAGAAATGTTTATTTTAGAAATTCCATTGCAGCTATTTTGAAATGGGCTAAAAGAAATGTTGGGTCACTTACCTGGTTTTGGACCATAACGTGTTAAAATGGGCGGGGGATATAGATGACTTCGTGACCGTACGCTTGTTTAGTCAATGTTTCTTGTAATTTGTCATGTGTTTGCATAAAAAAACAACACAGAATACAGAATAGCACATTTACTTGTGGTTACTTTACAGACAGCTGCCGGGGGGATATGTCATCTTTCTGATGACTCTTGTTTACCTGGTGTGAGATAGCTGAAATATTTACTCATTCAGTAAAGATGAAGCATAAAGTTTAATAGGTTATTATCAGCACATTTGATAGTCTTCAGACTGGTAGTGGTACTGCTCAGATCCGTTATTATATGCCAACTTTTAGTTCGAGGTTATGGAGTTACACCAAGGAATTCCGTCCATCCTTCCGAGGATATTTTTTGTGCAACCTATAACTTGAAACTCTGGCATAGATTCTTTTCAAACATTGTAAACACTTTCTATATCAATAGGAGAAGTGCATTGCAAAGTTTGATTTCTATATTTGGATTTCTTATAAAATACAGCTATTTCTCATTTTTTTACTTAAAAATTTGTGCGACCTATAGCTTGAAAACTTCATGTATTCTTTACCAATTAGGGGTACAGTTTCTATATCAATAGGAGAGGTGCAGTGCAAAGCTTGATTTTGATGAGTGGATTTTCTGAGAAATTATTCCTATTTTCATGTTTTGAACTTAGAAATATTTTTATACCTCCGACCCTGACCTAAAGAGCAGTCAGAGTTGGAGTCGAGGTCGGGGGTATTAGTGAGCTCTGCTCACTTGTCAAGGACTGGTGTTAAAACATCACCACTGGTGCTGTTAATTAACTGATTTTCATCCCTGCATTCCCAACTACCAAACACGCCTCATCACATCATTGTATTGTTCTCAAGTACATACAGATGAAGAATATTGCTGTATGTGTGTTCCCTTCTTCTTTATTTGATGAACGACACAATTTACATACTTAAAATTGTAGCAATATTCATGCTTCACATGAATCCCATTAATGGACAGACAAGTGTTTGTTTAACAATGTTTGAAATAAATTTCTCATCTCATATTATTTTTGAATTGAAAATGTAATAGTTATTATATTGTTGGCCCAAAATAGCATGTACATTTGACATCAAATGTGGATAAAAACATGTTTTAAGTCAGATTTGAGTTCAAAGTTAGAATACATTCATGCAATTTTACTATGACACAACCATCCTATTCAGCATCAAATCTACCCCTTGCCTGTGATTCTTATCCTTCACCAATCATGTTTGTTTATTTAACACTGTACTCAACAATATTCCAGTCATATGACAGCGGTCTGTAATAAACCAGTCTGGACCAGACTATCCAATCATTGATATCACGAGGATTGATCCACACAATTGGGATACAATGACATCACCATCATGGTTCTCCCTGACCCCAAGTGTCAGGTAGTTGACACCTATCCAAACAAATATATTGAGTCCCAGCTATGGCTACTTGGATATTATAAGGTACAGTTCCAAGAACAAAAGTGCATATCAGCAGTGCGTCACTTTACACTTTCTTGCAATAACCCATGATCCAAGTGTCTGTCATTCTCATACATGCAGCTTGAACAGCATTGATGTAATAATTGAAAAGTTGGCGTATAACTGGTTACCAGGATATAACTACCATACATGACCCAAATGGCGACACCCCTTGGATCTGAGTCTTTAGCTGTGCACTAAGGAAGGGGAGAGGGGAGACTCAATTGCTGATTGCTGCCACTGTATTTCAAGCTCATTTAAGTCTAAAACTTTGGTGTTAAACTTTAGGGTTGTGACAAGAATCCTTAGACTGTCATTCCTTCTATCAATGATTATCATGATAATAAAAAATTGATATACCCATCGCAGAGCAAAGTTCAACACCACGTCGTCCAAACAGAGTTCTTGCCATGGCACGTGAGAGCCATGTGGGTCTAACACGAGAACTGTTCCCAAGCCCTCCACCTAAGAAGAAGGCAGTGAGGAGACCAGTAAAGATGTGCACGCCAGACACCTCCAGCAGTGAACTGTCCTCAGATGCAGAAATGTACAGACTTCTTGGATTGGAGAAACCAAAATCAGGCAAATACAAGATAGGTGAGATTTAAGTTTCCATGTTAACAGCATATTGACATGTTTTGACACAAAAATGCTCCAGATGCAGTCTTTGGCTTAACCACTAGCCCGAAGCCAGAGTCAAGTAAAACATCTTCCTGTCTGACAAGAATAGCTATGCATAGTCCACACATTAGCATTAAAGTCTACAGAAATGACACAAAAAGTTTTTGGCACAGGCTGTATATGTAGTGAGAACATTTTCTGTCATGTTGGATTCTATGGCATAATATCATCCAATAATCCATGCTTGTCATCAGATCTGACTAATGATGAACAACAATTTTTCAACTCACCAATACACAAAACAAAAGATATCTGTTTATCTATTTCCAATGTGTGCATTTATGATCTTGGTGAAATAGCTGACCATGTGTAATACCCTTTTTATTCACAGATGGAGTTAGCTTGAGGCGAGCATCTGCCAAAACCAACCTGCCCTCAGTTTTTATCAACAACTCTGATTCTCTTGTGGATTCCCAGCTGTCAAATTCAGGCAGCTCTACAGAACCTGAGCTTTGTAAACTCCTCGACATGAGCAAGAGTACTGATGAAGATGATTCAAAACCTGTTGATGCACTCAAGAAAGGGAAACCACTTCCCCCTGTGAAGCACATGCGAGATCTGGATAGTCCTCCTAAAGTTCTGATTGATAATTCTCCAAAGGAGACCAAATTTTTGAAAACAGTGATGAATGGGTCATGTAGAGCAAAATCCCCTCTTGCACCTATTCCTACAAGTCACACAGAGCGAGAAGAGATACCTCAAGATGTATCAGAATTTCTTCCCTCCAAAATCATGTCAACACGTGGAGCCTTTGCATCTGCAGGTTCTGCCATTTTTCAAGAGGAGAAGAATATTCATTCCTTGAGAATCATGGGGAAGCCATCACAAAGGAGCTCAGATGTTAGAATTAGATCCTTCAATAACCTTGATACAAGAACATCAAGAGGACCTGATCCAGTAAATACTGCTGAGTCTAACAGGAGGATTGAATCTGTATGTCCACCAACAGCTAACCCTAGGCCATCCTTACATCCTTCTCCACCTGACAGAAAGGCACCAGAGACGGGGGGCAAGGTCTCTTTCAAGGTTTCCACACTCAAGGGCACCAAGCAATAAGGTGTCAGAGAAGAGTATTGAATCTCCAAGGCAGACAGTGGACTCACAGAAACCTGACTCCACCACATCCAGACTACAACGTCCAAAAGAGCATCAGTTCATGTCCTTTGGTAAGATGTCCGCATCAGTCGAACCAGAAGAGACATCAGTGGAATCTGCCATGGTCCTGGATTCTGGATTTGGTCTTGGTACATCAGCAGTAAAGGATCATCAATCCAGCCATAGATCATATGCACCATGTCCACCAGTAGGGAAGGTGGCAGGCAGACATGCCAGGTCATTCAACAGCATAGCTCCATTGCCTTCAACTTCCAACTCAGTGGATAAGCCACCTGTTGCAAGGAGACAAACAGGCTATGAGCAGGCTCAGTCTCCCAAATGGCAGTCACCACGTGGACCTAAATGCACACCTGAAATGATGATTACTAGAAGCAACACAAAGCCTGCAGGAGTCAAAGATGGACTGCCACACTCTGTAGGATACAGGAGAATGATCCCAAGACTACCAAGCGCCAGTAGGATGGAAAATGTGCACACCTCTGGTTCAAGTTCCTCTGAGAGAGATGTTCTCTCTCCCAGACCAGCATGGGAATTGTTGAAAGCTGGTTTAGAAACTCATGCTGAAGTATACTCTTCCTCCACCAATGAAAACAGAAACTCAAATCTTCCTCTCAAGCCATCATCATATGCTTATATAACTTACCCCACTTCAACATGTAAGTTTTTACTATATATTTGATGACTTACCGTATTTGACGTAATAAGTGCCCATGGCGATATTTGCTGATATATTAGCTTGTGAACAATCCCAATTTTAGCACCCTTTCCGATTGATCATCAATGTACACAAGACTTATTTATTCATGTATAACACGCACTTGAAGTTGTGTGTCATATTTACACTTAATTATGGGCAATTAAATTCTGGAAAGTGTATCTATCGTGTATAATACGTACAGATTATTCTTTTATATCATTTCAGGTTGTCAGCATAAACCACAAAATTTACAATCTTTGAACTCTGTTTTTTTTCTCACCAAAATTATATTCTAATGATAAGAGACCCCTATTTCTAATTTTGAGAGTGCCTTGGGCGCTTATTACATTGAATACGGTAAATTTATTTTCAAATACTGTATTATGGTACATCAGAAACTATCTCATAAAACTGGCAGAGGTAAAATGTTGAGAATTAAATAAAAAAATGTCAAGCCTGAAGCTTGAGTCGTAATGAAATGTCTTGTAAAGGACCAACCAATTGATATGCAGATTTTCGAAATTCACAGTTCAGAGCTCCAAATAAGCTTTTGGTGTTGTGGGTATTTTACCCATGCATTTTAAAATCATTGGGTATCAGTAATTCTATCTGGGTATTCAAATTTCTGTTACCCACTAGTTTTTACACATGTGCGTATTTAAGTTAACTATTTAAAAACACGTTTCATCTAGTCCCTGCAAACTGGTGTCGTGTGGGTTCGAGAGCTCTATAGGACTCAAAAATACCACGATACCTCCACAAGAAAGTGTGATGTAACTGTCATCGCGGAGTTTGGCAAGGTTGACGGAATGCCCGTTTATAATTTCAAAATAAGTTGCTGATTTGCTAATCAAATACGCAGGGTTACTTCACAATATTTTGATGATACACACAAGTTTTATTTTTGTAATGTTCGTTGCGTATTTGATACGCTTGGATTATATTTTACTGCATATTTCTGCATATCTGATGCGTATTTTACGCTGATACGCAGCTTATCTGGAGCTCTGTTGTTGAAAAAATATGTCTGTTGGAAGGAGATTATCTGTCTGTGCATAGAGTAGATGTTTCATCAATATTTACACAGTGCTACTGATGCCATAATTAATGACCAGCTGATGCAAAATGGTCTCTGTCTGCACATGGTTTTATTAAACACTGTTGAATAAAGGTGTATTGTTATTAAATGGGTGATCTCTTCACAGATGATTCATGAATAGAGATTATTATAAGAGCATGTGTGTCATACTGATTAAGTTACTAAGGGAGTGTCAGAATTCTTGTATTTTCTTAAAGAGAACAAGTGTAATAATTTCTTTATTACCCATTATTTCTCAATCCTTTCAAGTTCACCTATAGAAAAATGCACATATCATGACATCGGTTGCAATTGTCGAATGACATCAACAATCTTCAGCTATGCCATCATTTCTAGTGTGACTTCATTCCAACCTTAAGTCACAAAAAGATTTGAATTGCATAAACAATGCCCACTGGATAATGTAAACAATACATTGATGTGTATGAGATTATGTTTGCACTGGTGCACACACGATTTTTATTAATTCAGTTATTTCTAATCCTTTGGGTATTAAAACGATTTATGACTCACCTTGATACTCGTCCCTGTTTGATGCAGTTTTTACACCTGGAGTGGTGTATTTCAAAATGTATCCTACTCTCTTTTACTCTGTCAATACTTTTCGAAATACACTCAAGACAAATGATAAGCATTATTTTTTCTTTTGACCAAACTATTCCTTGACTTCTAACTCAGAATCTCTTCTTTCAGCTTCACACTACAGACCACATCAGTAGGACTTTGGGGACAGGTAGGCATCATGAAGCGTCATCTTGACAGATACATCACTATTTTTTTTTGTGTGTTTTGACTCTTATTTTGACAAGTTGAGCCCCTAAGTATATAGCGGTATCTGTATCCCACACATCCCCTGGCTATTACTTGTTTTCACCAGCACAATCCATCACCAGCTCTGCCAGAATTTCCAGTGCCATACTGTCACAGTTGTGTTAACTCTTATCCTTGATGACTTTTGAAGTTAGATAAGCTTGATGTTGAAATGATGAAGTGACTCTTCTTGGCAGTTAAATGCCTTCCTGTCAGTTGAATGCCTTGGTTGTCTTGAAGTTGGGTAAGTTGAACAATATGTTGATGATGTGACTCTTGTTCTTGGCAGTGGAATGCCTTGGTTGTCTTGAAGTTGAAGTTGGGTAAGTTATGTAATCAGATGATGATGTGACTCTTCTTGTCAGTTCACTGCCTTGGTTCTCTTGAAGTTGGGTAAGTTGAGTAGTATGTTGATGATGTGACTCTTCTTGGCTGTTGACTGCCTTGGTTGTCTTGAAGTTGGGTAAGTTGAGTAGTATGTTGATGATGTGACTCTTCTTGTCAGTTGACTGCCTTGGTTGTCTTGAAGTTGGGTAAGTTGAGTAGTATGTTGATGATGTGACTCTTCTTGTCAGTTGACTGCCTTGGTTCTCTTGAAGTTGAGTAGTATGTTGATGATGTGACTCTTCTTGTCAGTTGACTGCCTTGGTTCTCTTGAAGTTGAGTAGTATGTTGATGATGTGACTCTTTTTGTCAGTTGACTGCCTTGGTTGTCTTGAAGTTGGGTAAGTTGAATAATATGTTGATGATGTGACTCTTCTTGTCAGTTGACTGCCTTGGTTGTCTTGAAGTTGGGTAAGTTGAGTAGTATGTTGATGATGTGACTCTTCTTGTCAGTTGACTGCCTTGGTTGTCTTGAAGTTGGGTAAGTTGAGTAGTATGTTGATGATGTGACTCTTTTTGTCAGTTGACTGCCTTGGTTGTCTTGAAGTTGAGTAGTATGTTGATGATGTGACTCTTCTTGTCAGTTGACTGCCTTGGTTCTCTTGAAGTTGAGTAGTATGTTGATGATGTGACTCTTTTTGTCAGTTGACTGCCTTGGTTGTCTTGAAGTTGGGTAAGTTGAATAATATGTTGATGATGTGACTCTTCTTGTCAGTTGACTGCCTTGGTTGTCTTGAAGTTGGGTAAGTTGAGTAGTATGTTGATGATGTGACTCTTCTTGTCAGTTGACTGCCTTGGTTGTCTTGAAGTTGGGTCAGTTAAGTAGTATGTTGATGATGTGACTCTTCTTGTCAGTTGACTGCCTTGGTTGTCTTGAAGTTGGGTAAGTTGAATAATATGTTGATGATGTGACTCTTCTTGTCAGTTGACTGCCTTGGTTGTCTTGAAGTTGGGTAAGTTGAGTAGTATGTTGATGATGTGACTCTTCTTGTCAGTTGACTGCCTTGGTTGTCTTGAAGTTGGGTAAGTTGAGTAGTATGTTGATGATGTGACTCTTCTTGTCAGTTGACTGCCTTGGTTGTCTTGAAGTTGGGTAAGTTGAGTAGTATGTTGATGATGTGACTCTTCTTGTCAGTTGACTGCCTTGGTTCTCTTGAAGTTGGGTAAGTTGAGTAGTATGTTGATGATGTGACTCTTCTTGTCAGTTGACTGCCTTGGTTGTCTTGAAGTTGGGTAAGTTGAGTAGTATGTTGATGATGTGACTCTTCTTGTCAGTTGACTGCCTTGGTTCTCTTGAAGTTGAGTAGTATGTTGATGATGTGACTCTTCTTGTCAGTTGACTGCCTTGGTTGTCTTGAAGTTGGGTAAGTTGAGTAATATGTTGACGTTGTGACTCTTCTTGTCAGTTGACTGCCTTGGTTGTCTTGAAGTTGGGTAAGTTGAGTAGTATGTTGATGATGTGACTCTTCTTGTCAGTTGACTGCCTTGGTTCTCTTGAAGTTGAGTAAGTTGAGTAGTATGTTGATGATGTGACTCTTCTTGTCAGTTGACTGCCTTGGTTGTCTTGAAGTTGGGTAAGTTGAGTAATATGTTGACGTTGTGACTCTTCTTGTCAGTTGACTGCCTTGGTTGTCTTGAAGTTGGGTAAGTTGAGTAATATGTTGACGTTGTGACTCTTCTTGTCAGTTGACTGCCTTGGTTGTCTTGAAGTTGGGTAAGTTGAACAGTATGTTGATGATGTGACTCTTCTTGGCTGTTGAATCCTTTGGTTGTCTTGAAGTTGGGTAAGTTATGTAATCAGATGATGATGTGATTCTTCTTGTCAATTGACTGCCTTGGTTGTCTTGAAGTTGGGTAAGTTGAACAATATGTTGATGATGTGACTCTTCTTGTCAGTTGACTGCCTTGGTTCTCTTGAAGTTGAGTAGTATGTTGATGATGTGACTCTTTTTGTCAGTTGACTGCCTTGGTTCTCTTGAAGTTGGGTAAGTTGAATAATATGTTGATGATGTGACTCTTCTTGTCAGTTGACTGCCTTGGTTGTCTTGAAGTTGGGTAAGTTGAGTAGTATGTTGATGATGTGACTCTTCTTGTCAGTTGACTGCCTTGGTTGTCTTGAAGTTGGGTAAGTTGAGTAGTATGTTGATGATGTGACTCTTCTTGTCAGTTGACTGCCTTGGTTGTCTTGAAGTTGGGTAAGTTGAGTAGTATGTTGATGATGTGACTCTTCTTGTCAGTTGACTGCCTTGGTTCTCTTGAAGTTGAGTAGTATGTTGATGATGTGACTCTTTTTGTCAGTTGACTGCCTTGGTTGTCTTGAAGTTGAGTAGTATGTTGATGATGTGACTCTTCTTGTCAGTTGACTGCCTGGGTTCTCTTGAAGTTGAGTAGTATGTTGATGATGTGACTCTTCTTGTCAGTTGACTGCCTTGGTTGTCTTGAAGTTGGGTAAGTTGAGTAATATGTTGACGTTGTGACTCTTCTTGTCAGTTGACTGCCTTGGTTGTCTTGAAGTTGGGTAAGTTGAACAGTATGTTGATGATGTGACTCTTCTTGTCAGTTGACTGCCTTGGTTGTCTTGAAGTTGGGTAAGTTGAACAATATGTTGATGATGTGACTCTTCTTGTCAGTTGACTGCCTTGGTTGTCTTGAAGTTGGGTAAGTTGAGTAGTATGTTGATGATGTGACTCTTCTTGTCAGTTGACTGCCTTGGTTGTCTTGAAGTTGGGTAAGTTGAGTAGTATGTTGATGATGTGACTCTTCTTGTCAGTTGACTGCCTTGGTTCTCTTGAAGTTGGGTAAGTTGAGTAGTATGTTGATGATGTGACTCTTCTTGTCAGTTGACTGCCTTGGTTGTCTTGAAGTTAGGTAAGTTGAGTAGTATGTTGATGATGTGACTCTTCTTGTCAGTTGACTGCCTTGGTTGTCTTGAAGTTGAGTAGTATGTTGATGATGTGACTCTTCTTGTAAGTTGACTGCCTTGGTTGTCTTGAAGTTGAGTAGTATGTTGATTATGTGACTCTTCTTGTCAGTTGACTGCCTTGGTTCTCTTGAAGTTGAGTAGTATGTTGATGATGTGACTCTTCTTGTCAGTTGACTGCCTTGGTTCTCTTGAAGTTGAGTAGTATGTTGATGATGTGACTCTTCTTGTCAGTTGACTGCCTTGGTTGTCTTGAAGTTGGGTAAGTTGAGTAGTATGTTGATGATGTGACTCTTCTTGTCAGTTGACTGCCTTGGTTGTCTTGAAGTTGGGTAAGTTGAGTAGTATGTTGATGATGTGACTCTTCTTGTCAGTTGACTGCCTTGGTTGTCTTGAAGTTGGGTAAGTTGAGTAGTATGTTGATGATGTGACTCTTCTTGTCAGTTGACTGCCTTGGTTGTCTTGAAGTTGGGTAAGTTGAGTAGTATGTTGATGATGTGACTCTTCTTGTCAGTTGACTGCCTTGGTTCTCTTGAAGTTGAGTAGTATGTTGATGATGTGACTCTTCTTGTCAGTTGACTGACTTGGTTGTCTTGAAGTTGGGTAAGTTGAGTAGTATGTTGATGATGTGACTCTTCTTGTCAGTTGACTGCCTTGGTTGTCTTGAAGTTGGGTAAGTTGAGTAGTATGTTGATGATGTGACTCTTCTTGTCAGTTGACTGCCTTGGTTGTCTTGAAGTTGACTAGTATGTTGATGATGTGACTCTTCTTGTCAGTTGACTGCCTTGGTTCTCTTGAAGTTGAGTAGTATGTTGATGATGTGACTCTTCTTGTCAGTTGACTAGGGGCGGTCGGGTAGCCTAGTGGTTAAAGCGTTCGCTCGTCACGCCGAAGGCCCGGGTTCGATTCCCGACATGGGTACAATGTGTGAAGCCCATTTCTGGTGTCCCCCACCGTGATATTGCTGGAATATTGCTAAAAGCGGCGCAAAACCATACTCACTCACTGTCAGTTGACTGCCTTGGTTCTCTTGAAGTTGAGTAGTATGTTGATGATGTGACTCTTCTTGTCAGTTGACTGCCTTGGTTCTCTTGAAGTTGAGTAGAATGTTGATGATGTGACTCTTTTTTTCAGTTGACTGCCTTGGTTGTCTTGAAGTTGGGTAAGTTGAGTAGTATGTTGATGATGTGACTCTTCTTGTCAGTTGACTGCCTTGGTTGTCTTGAAGTTGGGTAAGTTGAGTAGTATGTTGATGATGTGACTCTTCTTGTCAGTTGACTGCCTTGGTTGTCTTTAAGGAGGGTTAGTTGAATAATATGTTGATGATGTGACTCTTCTTTGTCTGTTGAATCCTTTGGTTGTCTTGAAGTTGGGTAAGTTATGTAATCAGATGATGATGTGATTCTTCTTGTCAATTGACTGCCTTGGTTGTCTTGAAGTTGGGTAAGTTGAGTAGTATGTTGATGATGTGACTCTTCTTGTCAGTTGACTGCCTTGGTTGTCTTGAAGTTGGGTAAGTTGAGTAGTATGTTGATGATGTGACTCTTCTTGTCAGTTGACTGCCTTGGTTGTCTTGAAGTTGGGTAAGTTGAGTAGTATGTTGATGATGTGACTCTTCTTGTCAGTTGACTGCCTTGGTTGTCTTGAAGTTGGGTAAGTTGAATAATATGTTGATGATGTGACTCTTCTTGTCAGTTGACTGCCTTGGTTGTCTTGAAGTTGGGTAAGTTGAGTAGTATGTTGATGATGTGACTCTTCTTGTCAGTTGACTGCCTTGGTTGTCTTGAAGTTGGGTAAGTTGAATAATATGTTGATGATGTCTCTTCTTTGTCTGTTGAATCCTTTGGTTGTCTTGAAGTTGGGTAAGTTATGTAATCAGATGATGATGTGATTCTTCTTGTCAATTGACTGCCTTGGTTGTCTTGAAGTTGGGTAAGTTGAGTAGTATGTTGATGATGTGACTCTTCTTGTCAGTTGACTGCCTTGGTTGTCTTGAAGTTGGGTAAGTTGAGTAGTATGTTGATGATGTGACTCTTCTTGTCAGTTGACTGCCTTGGTTGTCTTGAAGTTGGGTAAGTTGAGTAGTATGTTGATGATGTGACTCTTCTTGTCAGTTGACTGCCTTGGTTGTCTTGAAGTTGACTAGTATGTTGATGATGTGATTCTTCTTGTCAATTGACTGCCTTGGTTGTCTTGAAGTTGGGTAAGTTGAACAATATGTTGATGATG